AGTGCTCACCTGATGCACTCACTCGATCAGGTGAGTGCTCACCTGATGCACTCACTCGATCAGGTGAGTGCTCACCTGATGCACTCACTCGATCAGGTGAGTGCTCACCTGATGCACTCACTCGATCAGGTGAGTGCTCACCTGATGCACTCACTCGATCAGGTGAGTGCTCACCTGATGCACTCACTCGATCAGGTGAGTGCTCACCTGATGCACTCACTCGATCAGGTGAGTGCTCACCTGATGCACTCACTCGATCAGGTGAGTGCTCACCTGATGCACTCACTCGATCAGGTGAGTGCTCACCTGATGCACTCACTCGATCAGGTGAGTGCTCACCTGATGCACTCACTCGATCAGGTGAGTGCTCACCTGATGCACTCACTCGATCAGGTGAGTGCTCACCTGATGCACTCACTCGATCAGGTGAGTGCTCACCTGATGCACTCACTCGATCAGGTGAGTGCTCACCTGATGCACTCACTCGATCAGGTGAGTGCTCACCTGATGCACTCACTCGATCAGGTGAGTGCTCACCTGATGCACTCACTCGATCAGGTGAGTGCTCACCTGATGCACTCACTCGATCAGGTGAGTGCTCACCTGATGCACTCACTCGATCAGGTGAGTGCTCACCTGATGCACTCACTCGATCAGGTGAGTGCTCACCTGATGCACTCACTCGATCAGGTGAGTGCTCACCTGATGCACTCACTCGATCAGGTGAGTGCTCACCTGATGCACTCACTCGATCACTGTCACCTCATGCACACACACTTCGTGCTCACCTCATGCCCACACACTCACCCACACAGGAGCCCGCGTCACAAGCTGCTCTCCTTTTCGTCCTCTTCGCCACAGGTGGCAGCAGCAGCAGCAGCAGCAGCAGCAGCAGCAGCAGCAGCAGCAGAAGCAGCAGCAGCAGCAGGCGGGCGAGCCACGCGGTGATGGAGGCGATGCGGAGGGAGTGACGCGCACAGATGGCGGGGGGAGCGAGTGGGTCCCATTCCCTCCCCCTCCCCCTCGCCCTCTCACCCTCGCCCTCTCCCATTCTCCCTCACAGACACAAGGACACTCACCCGCACAGGAGCCCACGTCGCAAGCTGCTCTCCTCCTCATCTTCTTGATTGTTCAAGTATCGATCCAGCAGCAGGCTGACTGGGTAAGCCACCGGAGACAGCAACAGCAGCAGCAGGCGGGCGAGCCAGGCGGTGGCGGAGGCGATGCGGAGGGAGTGACGCGCACAGATGGCGGGGGGAGCGATTTCCACGAATAGCAGGATGAGGAGCACGCAGAGGATGAATCCCATCACCATGCCCAACACGCCTGGGAGGAAGGGGTGGGGAGTGGTGGGGGGTGGTGGGGAGAGGTGGAATACGGTGAGATGCATGAGAGGAGTGGTTTCAGTGAAGAGCAGGATGAGGAGCACGCAGAGGACGAATCCCATCACCATGCCCAACACGCCTGGGAGGGTGGGGAGCGGTGGGGAGGGGTAGAGATGCATGCTAGGAGTGGTCCCAATAAAGAGGAGGATGAGCAGCAAGCAGAGGATGAATCCCATCACCATGCCCAACACGCCTGGGAGGGACGGGCAGGTGGAGCAGGGAGGAGGGATTGGGGGCGAAAGGGGTGTTGGTGGAGAGGAGACTGCGGTAGGGAGTGGTGGAATGGGGTGAGCTGCATCAGAAACAGGAGGATGACTGTGCCAGACCTGACCACCCCACCTGCACCGCACCTGACCCAACCTGACCCCACCTGACCCCACCTGAGACCCACCTGAGACGAAGAGCGTGAAGCTGACGTTGACGCTGGTGCTGGCGACCAATAGCGTGGTGAGCAGCAGACTGCCACGTGTGCGCAGCGCTGCCACCTTGGCAGCCTGCCACCTCAGCCGCTCGTCCACGCCATCCATTGCTGCCTGGTCGAGGTGGGATGAGGTGGGGTGGGGAGGGATGGGGTGGGGTGGGGTGGGGTGGGGTGGGGTGGGGTGGGGTGGGGTGGGGTGGGGTGGGAGGGAGAAAAAAGTAGGTCACCGGGGCGCCTCAGAAAATGCCACCTTGGCAGCCTGCCGCCTCAGCCGCCCGTCCACGCCATCCATCGCCGCCTGCTCCCGGAGGGGGGGGGAGGGGGGAGGTTGGTGTTGGGGGGGAGGCAGGGGGAAGGTGGGTGGATGTAGTCGACTCAGCTGCCACCTCAGCCTCGTCCACCCCATCATTGCCACCTGCTCCCCAGGGGAGGAGGGGTGTTGGGGGAGGTGGGTGGAGAGGGGTGGAGAGGGGTGGAGAGGGGTGGGGAGGTGGGTGGAGAGGAGGGAGGGAGAAGGTGGGTGGGGAGGAGGAGGGAGGAGGTTGCATGTCAATTACCTGGAGAGTCGCCATGTCGAGTCCGAGAGTGGACGACATCATGCAGGAGATAACAAGAGACACGGCGAGCAGGCAGCACCCGGAGATGGGGGTGGGTGTGGGGGGAGGGGGTGGGGGAGGGTGGAAATGGGGGAGAAGGAGGGAAGGGGGGACAGTGTCGTGGAACAGCACGGGATACCAGCAGTGGGGGTTACCTGCAGAGTCGCCATGTCAAGCCCAAGCGTAGACGACATCATGCAGGAGATGACGAGCGACATGGCCAGCAGGCAGCACGCGGAGATGGGGAACGCGATGAGCTCAGCGGTGGAGAGCGGTGGGAGCCAGCCGGAGTCGGTGTAGCAGGTGTCATAGCAGTCGATGGTGGGTCCGTCGCACGCGTTCAGACACGCCACGATGCCGTTGCTCGGCGCGCACGCCCCCAGCCGCGCCAACGGCGCCCAACAACTCATGCTGCTCCCGCTGCTGCTGCTCCCGCTGCTGCTGCTGCTGCTGCTGCTGCTGCTGCTGCTGCTGCTGCTGCTGCTGCTGCTGCTGCTGCTGCTGCTGCTGCTGCCGCTGCCGCTGCCGCTGCCGCTGCTGCTGCCGCTGCTGCTGCCGCTGCTGCTGCTGCTGCTGCTGCTGCCGCTGCTGCTGCCGCTGCTGCTGCCGCTGCTGCTGCTGCTGTGAGAACTCCCTGCTTTATCCTCCTCCTCCCCCTCCTCCTCCTCCTCCTCCTCCTCCTCTTCCTTCTCCTGCTGCTGCTACTGCTTCTGTTCCCACTGTCGCTTGAACTAGCGCGATATCGTACTTCCTGCCGCCAATTGCGCTGCTGCTGCTGCTGCTGCTGCCGCTGCTGCTGCTGCACTAGCAGTCGGCTACGTTCTCTTTGCCCCAGCTGTTGCTGCCCGTAAAGGAACACCCTCCCTTACCTTCCCCCCCCCGCACACCGCTGCACCCCAGCGGTGCTGGCTCCCTTTCGCCCGGCCTCTTGTCGATTCGCTCTGCGCGTTTCCCAACCTCAGCTTCGTTTCCCAACCTGTATGCGACACACACTCAGCTTCGTATCCCGTCTTTCGCCTGTTGTCTTCTTACTTTCGCCTGTTTCCCTCGCTCGCTGCGGGTCCCTCTAATCGCACGAGAGCTCAGCTTCTTATTTCCAGCCCCTTTCCCGCGATCGCCAGCGTCGCAATGTCGCTTCGGAAACAAGTAAATCCTGGTCGCGAAAAGTATCGCGTTAGTGGAATTAGAAGAGCCTAAACTAATCTTTCACCCAGCAGGACCCGTCAACGTAATCCTGACGTCCTCTGTTACTATCATCGAGGCGCTTCTAAAGTCAAACCGTCGTAATCCGTTACTATGTCCGTTCTTATCCCCGTCGTTCTCCTCGTCCTCTGCCAACTCTTCCGCCATTCCCGGGGCATGCGGCGCCGAAGCCGCGGCGTCACGAGTCTACCCAGCGCCGCTGATTGGCGGACGGAAAACGGTATCTGATTGTCGGCCAGTCTATGCTAGCGGTCTGACTGACGCTGCCTTGAAGCATGCCGGTTTCTGTCGCGTGGCACTAACTTGTGCTAAGTCGCCTTCTATAGTTTAACGCTCAATATCGCGTATGCTTGAGAGCGCTGCGAGTAATAACGAAATGGCGGTCTCGAACAACGAATGTATCAATTTATTGGAAGGCAGAGCCTAGACTGCGTCCGCAGCACCACTTATGTCACACGGGACTAAGGTGGAAAGTTAAATTAGCAGAATAGAAACGTCGCATTTGTGCGTACCTAGCGTCACCATTCGTCAAGCTACGGACTTCGCGAAAAAGACGACTTCGCGCCAAAAAAAAGCCCTTGCTACCTCTCTACTCGGCGTAACCTACTGCTGGGCCCGTGAAGTCACTAACGTCGGCTGTCACCCTCGAGATTCGAGAATATTGCGCGATGCTCGAGCGCAAAGCGCGTCATTCTCAAGGTCGGTGGGGGGACAGGACGGAGGGGCGAGGGGCGGGTGGGTGGGTGGTGGGCGGGAGGGGTACGAGGGAAGTAGTTTGACCACTAACGGCAATCGAAGCAGCGTACACCGGGTACATCGTGCCAACGTGCTTTGATTCCTGCCGAACCAAATGCCCACGTTGACTTGCGGTACGGAGGAAGGCTGGACCCTTGGGCTTGGTTGGTTCTATTCCAACCAGCAAAGCGAACCAAAGCGCTCTTGCCCTAACCAAGTTCGTAGCAGAAGGGCTATACAGTACAAACCAGAGTGCGTGGTTTGGAGAATTCGCCCAGCCTGTAAGAAAATCACGTCTCGGCCAGGCATGGTAGGTTCAGCGATGTGAGCGAGGCTTGCGCCGTGTGCAAAAAGCATTTCTCGTGGTTCGTTCGTGCGATCGCTGGGCACGCAAAGTGTCGTCAAGTGCCCCGCCAGGGCGCTTGCCTGATAGGGCCCCAGTCCCCGGAGCGTGAGGGCCCACGTCAGCCCTAACTTTGATAAGTTACGTTCCTCTGCCCCCCTGCAACAACTGGCTGGACCAGGGCTGCCACCGAATCGTTGTGTATTGATTGAAAGGCCCATTATACAGGATTCGCTAGAGACGTTTTGCAATTTAGCACACTAGCTCAACGTTCCCAACTTTCAACCAAGAATCACTTTCTACGGTATTATTGCAAGTCAACCTATAAGATGGCATAAGAAGAGTGGTGCATCTACTATGTTTGAACACCCACTTATCTCCAACCTCTCTATCTCACAGAGCAACGCTAAAGACGGGGGTAGTCGTGTCAGCCGGTCACATCCCGTTAGCTCAAACGACTTCAGATTTGACATGAGCCCAACGCCTTCAGGAAGGTCTGAGAAATTTCGGCAGCAGTTGACCGTGAAATGAGTTAAAGATGAAAGCTGGGTGAATGAAGATGGGATATGCCGAAACTCAGGACACCAGCTGATGGACAATTCTTGGAGGTTGGGCAGCTGCGAAAACTCTTCAGGCAGGGCAGAGAAAAGTTCACAGTTAATGAGCTTGAGGCTTTCAAGAGAAGAAAGTTGGGAGAATGTGTGAGGAAGGGTGGTAAGCCTGTTGCAGGCAAGCAGCTTCAAGGTCCGGAGATTTTTAAGCTGCCCGAACGAGTCGGGCAAGTGCGAGAGCTGGTACGTGTTGCAAAGCTCCAACTTTTCTAAAGCCGGCAAATCCCCGATATCCTCGGGCAGCCTGAAAAGGTTTCGGCAGCCCGTGATCACAAGGTCGGTCAGCCGGTCCAGCTTGGGGAGGGAAACGGGCAGCTCCGTAAGATTTTCGCAGTTGTGGATCTCCAGGCTCCACAGATTGGGAAGAAAGCCAATGTCATCGGGAAGAGTGAGAAAACATTCGCTTATCTCAAGACCCTCTAACGAGGATAGACGGCTCATGGAGGATGGGAGGTAATGGAGGGAATGGCAGGAGCAGAGGATCAGATTCCAAAGTTTTGGCAGTTGCCCGAGGGATTCTGGGAGGCTTGTGAGGCAGGGAAGAGCGAGCTCGAGCGTCTTGAGAGATTGCAGCTGACCGAAGTTTTCGGGTAGCGATGTCAAGCTATAGCAGGTGGTGGCACTGAAGTGAACGAGGTTAAAGAGCTGCCCAAAAGATTCTGGCAGGGCAGGCAACGAATTGCACTCCACCAGCTCTAGAACGCTGAGATTCTTCAGTCTGCCCAGGCTTTTGGGCAGAGCCCTGAGGTGAGGCGCTTGGAGGTGTAGGACGCGTAACGCGGGCAGCTGCGAGATTTCTTCGGGCAGGCTGCGAAGGTCATCCAATGAGATGTCTAGAAACTCCAGTTGTGTCAAACAAATTAAGGACGGAGGGAGGAACTTGACGCTCGGTATAGTGTGAAGTCCGAGCCTCTCTAATCGCGTACAGGCTTGGAAAAATCCGTCCAACCCTATTTCCGTGACTCCTCCAGCTGACGACACACGCCTGGTCGCCGTCAGCGAAAATCGCTTGAGGTTCGGCAATGCCGAGCCTAAACCGGAGATAATCTGATCGTTGACCACGTCAAGGCTGCGATTCGCTAGCTGCAGTGATGTCAGGTTCGGCATAGTTGACAATGCGCGAAGCAACGACACGCTGGAGATCTCCCTGCGACTGGCGACGCGAATGTCGGTCTGAGAGACGCGTGCGACGCGGAGCCATCGCTTGCAGACGAGGGCGTGGCGAAACGAAAAGAGGTCCGGGCCGAGCCGGGAAAGGAGATACGAGAGAAGATCGTCAGAAAGATCGTCGAACGGACAAGCTGTAGTCTCCATAGAAACGGAAAATTAGGGAGAAAGAAAGAGGATCGTCGGCTCGTTCCAAAATCTGATTTATCTGCAAATCTGTAATTTCAAGTACCATTCCAAGTTGGAAAATGGATCCGAGGGAGAAAGGTTGACGAGAGGTCGACGACAAACGGGTTCTGCAAGGTGGGCGAAAATTGACGAAACACTGACGTTGATGTTCGCTCGGTCACTTTCTATGCACATGCGGTAACCAAAGCCGTGACGAACTTGATTCCGCACCCCTCCCTGCCCCCAGTTTCACCTCCACGCACCTTTCTAAACCGTTCACTCTCATTCCCAACAAGCTGTAGCTTTGATAATTGAAACCCCTCATACCGTAAGTGAGTAGTGGTAGAGAACTTGTTTAACATTTTTTTACACAGGCTGCATTGCAGACAACCATGACGGCAGCAGGCACATAGCTGGCAAACTCTTGGAATATCGACATGAATGTATGAACACAAGCAGATGCTACTGCAACAAATTTGCTACCTGGTGCTAGCTGAACCATTTAGAGCAGGGGCACTACTACAACCCCCTAGCTACAACAACACATAGGAGGGGAGGAGGGGGGGTGTGGGAAGGCAAAAAAAAAACCAGTGGGCTTATTGCAATGGAGATACCGTACACTGGAGCAGATGCCACACGTCACCAATTTCTGCCTGTGATTGCCTTAATGGGTGCACCAGACCAGAGGATGGAATGGGAGATGGCTTGAGGGTGAAGGAAGGGAAGGGGTGAGGATGGATAAATGTGGGAATCATGGAGGGATGCTCAAACAGATGCCACATGGCACCAATTTCCGCCTGTGATTGCCTTAATGGGTGCACCAGACCAGAGGGGGAAGCAGGATGCTAAGTGCCGTAGGACAGGCACCTCGAGGCGAACTTGAGACTCGAGGCGAACTTGAGAGAACTTGAGACTTGAGGTGAACTTGAGACTTGAGGCGAAATTGCGACTTAAGGCGAACTTGAGACTTGTGGATATAGATGATAGATCAGATCGGAGAAGGCAAGTCAGATGGAAGGGCAGGAGGGGACTCGGATGGCGTGAGGAGATAGTGACTCGAGAACAGATGGTGTGTGGTTGAAACGGGCTGACCTGCTGCCGCGAATGTCAGCTCTTGAGACAGGTCTGGGGTGATACTGCTGCTGATACTGATGCTGCTGCTGACGCTGCTGCCGATGCTGATGATGCTGTTGATGAGAGTGCCGCTGATAGTGACTCTGTTGCTCTTGACTCTTGGCACGACAATGGTGGTCCTGCTGCTGCGGATGATAAAGCTGCTGCCACTGCTGCTGCGGATTCTGCTGCTGCTGCTGCTTGTGCAGAGGCAGAGGCGTGTAGGCCCCAGCATCGGAGAAGCTTCGCCTTCTTGAGCAGTGCCCGGCACCCAAGAAGTTTCTCGGAAGCCTCTCTGCTGCACCAGAGAAGCTTCGCCTCCGTGACGGGATGGAATGAACGTTGGAGGGGTAAGAGGGAGTTGAGTCAAGAGAGGGAGTCGAGTTGAGGGAGTAGAAGCCACGGGAGGGAGCGGAAGTAGACGATGGGGTCGAAACGAGGGAGCGAGTTGAGCGGAAGGAATTGGACCTTGTGGGTTCACAATAGTATGCCAGATCAGCCATCCAGGAATGCGCATGCGGCGTGCCGCACTGCCCCGTTCCAGTGGAACCTCCATCGCTGGAATCCTCGTCAGCGAAATCTGCCCCAGTCCGCCCTCCTCCAGTTGGAATCGCCATCACTTCAAGAGCCACGGCCCCCGCACTTGCAGCGTCAGCGTCATCAGCAGCACCATCAGCGACATCAGCAGCACCATCAGCGACATCAGCAGCACCATCAGCGACATCATCACCGTCAGCGCATTCCAAGGGCCTTAATCGTATCCTGCTGAGCGCCGCCCTTTGGGTTGACTCAAAGGCCGGCGGCGTTCTGTGCTGCGGTTCAAGCTTGGTCGCTCTCTTGTGAGGCTCCTCAAATGCTGCCACTCTCTGCGGCCCTTCAAAAGCCGTCACAAACTGCAGGCACCGCACGCTGCTGCTGAGCGCCTTGTGAGTCGGCTCAGCCGTAGTTGCTCCCTTAAAGGCCTCAAGCGCTGCCACTCTCTGCGGCCCTTCAAAAGCCGTCACAAACTGCGGGCACCGCACTCTGCTGCTGAGCGCCCTGTGAGTCGACTCGGCCTCCACCATTCTCTGAGCGCCTCCAAACGCCGCCACCCCTTGCGACCCTTCGAACGCCGTGACAAACTGCTGGCACCTTACGCTGCTGAGCGCCCTGTGCGCGTCCAGCAGCTGCAGCCGCCCCTCCAGTGCCTGAAGCGCCACGTCATCCGACAGCTGGCAGCGCTGCAGCAGCCGCCGGAAGGTTCCGCGGAGCGAGCGAGCAGGCGGCGCAGTGGAAGAGGAAGGTGGGGAGGGTGTGTGAGGGAGAGTGGTTGAACGAGCGGGCGGCGCAGCGGAGGAGGAGGGAGGAGAGGAGGGTGTGTGTGAGAGAGTGGTTGGAGTGGGGGGCGCGACGGGGGGAGTGTGAAGGAGTGGGGTGTGAGGGGCGGATCGAGTGGGGGAGACGGCGGAGGGGGCGTGAGGGACGACAGCGGAACAAGTGGGGGACGTGCACGGGGAGTAGCAGCGGCGGCTGATGCGAGGGTGAGTGGAGGGAGGGGAGGTGGGTAATGACTGCTGGGGGTAGGAGTTACGGCAAACGGATCCTTGAGATTCTTGAGATTCATGAGATCCTTGAGATTCATGAGATTCTTGAGATTCTTGAGACGCCCATCGTTGAGAATGCGCGTCCACCACGTCACGCTGCCCGCTCATGTCGGCACTCCCGCTGCTGCTCCCTTGACGCATGACCATGCATTCTGGCAGTGCCTGCAACAACGGAGACTGCGGCACCAGGTTCTGCTTTGCAAGATGAAACGGACTCACGGCGTTATAGGAACTGCTTTCAGGCGTCTCATAACTCGCTTGAGGCGGCGGCATCACCATGCCGCATTTCGCCAGCGCCAACGGTGGCTCCAACCAATGATGATTCTCATAACAGGAGCCAACTTCACATGGAGCCATGATGGCCGACAGGGGCGTCTTGGGGTAAAAAAGATATGAGCCGAGTTCCAAGATACGTTTGATGTATATACAGGGGGGTTGGAGGGGTAGGTTTGGTTTCAGGTGCTTCACAGTAGCTCGACTCAAGGTGGTAAAGCAGAGGCTTGGGATGACACTCTAAACGGCTGTGCGTGGGGAAGGAGCGTCCGAGTCGGCTTGGTGCATTCGAGCAGGGGAGTGATTACGTTTCTAGGCGCCTCTAAGATCGTCCGGTCGACCATGAGTTGAGCTGCAGTGGACGGAGAAGCGGCGGCGGTTTTGCGTGATTCAGAAGAGGAAGGCGAGAAGAGATGGATTCCAAAAAAGGAGATGAATTTCAGCAGAGGTCTGCTCTTTTTTGGAACTGATTCAGATTCGTCATCGCGAAAAAGGACTTAAAAAAGAAAATTGTGTCTGCCAGGGATAACGATGCTCAAGGCACGAGGCTGAGGAGGGAAGGAAGGAAGGGCGGCGGGACGAGGGGAGGAAGAAGGCTCAACGCGAGGGACTCCTCGCAAGCCTCCGTTTCAAGCCGCTCGCCGCTCGTGTTTGGATTGGAGAGGAGCCCCCTAGATCGGCATCAGTCCTCGAACTCCCGAGATACGAGAGAAAATGCCAATAAGCTCAAATCTAGGCGGCTCAGACATAGATCTGTGAGAACATTGGGTCGAGATTGAGAACAGCAACAGGGTGAGAAGATGAACAGGGTGAGGAGAGGAACAGGGTGATAAACAGGGTGGGAAGAGGCGCACAGCCAGGGGTGACCAGAGGCAGGCACAAGCTACCAGGAGCTGCCTATCCAGAGAATAGCAACAGGTCAGAGCAGTCTGCGTGAGAGATGTTGTCATGGATGGCCAGTAGCGGCATTCGTCTGTGGCGGCGCTCGCGCCCGAAGCAGAGCCTCTTGGCTAGAGTTTAGAAGGCAGGCTCTTGGCCCTTGGCTCTCGAGTCACATGCCCCTCTTGGCTGTGTGTGTGAGTCTTAACTTTTGGCTAAAGTTTAGAGCGCAGGCCCCCTGGGTTTCGAGTCTGGAAAGCGCAGGCTCATTCGCTCGCTCCACGTGAAGGCTCAGAGAGGACGACCAATGGCTATGCCGTCCGGCCAAAGCTAGCATCATGCTGTGATGTTGGAGATCGGGGTGGGTGGGGAGTGATGCTCATGTGAGCTGCTACCCCCCATTCATGGATGCACCAATCATGGTGTCGTGTCTACCGTACGTACGACCATCCCATGATGGCTGGCATATATCCATCCGTTACGTGTGGGATCACTTTTGAGGCGTCTGGAAAGCCTGAAAAGCGCTTTGAGACAGATGAGCTGTCCCTGGATGCACCCATTATGGCGTCTACCATCCCAGGGTTGGCATCCATGGAGCTAAGATCTGGAAATAGAAGAAGTGACGAACGGATGAGCTGTCAGGGAGGATGGTGTATCCTTTCCGATAGCTGGCATGGCGTTGCTCTTTTGACCTCCTGAAAATCTCTGCGATTCGCGGCCCACGTGAAACTCCACGTCAAAACGAATCACCTCCTCTAATCCTATAGTACAGTACGAATTGGTCCTAAAAGGCGTCTCAAAAGAGTTTTGAAATGTCTGAAAAAAAAATATATCTTGGGACGTCTCAAAAGTCTGCAGTCCACGTGATGGGAGGCACTTTACATGAGCAACAGGCCGACAGTACGATATGGTCCGATCCGACATGCTAACGACTCCGAACACTTTTCCAACGGTTCGAAACGCTTTCTGTTGTAAAAGAATGAGCTCCCTCCTCATTCTCATCCTCATCCTCTTCATCCTCCTCCTCCTCCTCTGCCTAATACTGTACCTCCTCACTCTCCGCCGTTGCTCGTGTATTTGTACGGTCTACAAGCTTGCCTAGTAGTACTATCATGAATATTCAACCATGACCAGCAGCAAACTCTAGTCGCAAGCAGGGCCTATGTTATCAGGGCAATTACCCTGTTTTGACTGAAATTATAAGGTGATTTTTAGAGCAGCCCTGATTTTCACAAGGTGATTTTCGGACCAGCCCGTAAACCTGAAGGGTGATTTTCGAGCCCACTCGGATCACTCCGGGATGTTTTTGAGGGGAAGAGGATAGTTTTAGCAGCACTTATAGTCCTCGAACTACTTCGCATCCCCTCCCTCTCCCCGTGTACAACGCATAGGCCACTTTCAGTGAATATCCTTGGCATTCGCTCCTGGTTTGGCCTTCAGGTGTTTGATTTCCGGTACTGCTTTGACGTGGCAAGAAGTAGTACTCCTCCACATATAAACATTTTTAAGTCGACAGAAAGTCTCGCTCCCCCCCTCTAGTGCCGCTCTTAAATCTCCAACCTTCCCAGCCTTCGTGCCACCCACTGTGAGTTTCACGATCATTTCCCCATTCCGTGAGATTCTGGTAGGTAGTTTTCAGGCCTTATCTGGCACGAACCCGGATTCGTGAAGGTTTTTTTCCTGCTGGCTCGTATTTTACAGGGTCTTTTTCACAGGGGCCCGGATCGTCCGAGCTAGCAAAAATCCTAGCAATAGCCCTGGTCGCAAGCCAGAGTGGCAACCCTGAGGCCGAGGCAGACGTCCTACATGGCTGTCGCTCTTGCATGATCTAACACCGCGTTGACTCAGCAAGTTCACTTGTGAGGCGGGATAAAGTAGATTCAGATCTCGCGCGGGTAATGGTGAGGGTACCCTTTCCTCTCTCTGATCTGAAACCCATTCTAGCCAACTCAAGTAAAGCCTGGTCCCTGCCTCGCGTGCGTGAGAGAATGAGGCCTACCCTTGGCCCTTCCTCGGTTCAAGCTGAAAGTAGGCTTGTGGGCTGGGCAGTACGAAGAGCAAAACTATTCTCCGAGATTTCCTCCACCGCTGTTGCAACAAAATCTCTGGTGAGGCCACGATGAAGGAATGTAGGACGAAAGAGTGCTGTGAGAAAATTTCTCGCGGACTGACCATGACCAACCGCATGCGCTGCTGACTAATAAAAGTCTGCCTCGATGTTGCGTGAGAAAGGTCGTTGGATTCGACGCCATAGGCATCAACGAGCGGCATTATGTTGCGCCGTGCAGCACGTGACAGGAGGCGGCCGATTGCCGCTATAACATCAGGGAGCTACAACTACTGTACGCGAGCCTACGTCATCCTGCGTTATCCCACAGCATCCTACAGCATTCCTTCATTCAGACGCAACATTCATTTTCCTTGATGTTTCTTCAATGTCCTTCCTTCCCGCCATCAATTCATTTCGCCAACCACCCAAACCAAGGCCCCCCAGGTTGGCTCGTTCAGTGAGTTTCAAAGCGGCTGAAACATATCCAGAACGGTTTTAAAAGGGAGTTAGGGCTTTTGGTGTAGATTGTTAAAAGTTCGAGCCTAGTACCGCTTTGTAACGTGGCGACACGTCTCTCAACTGTATCCTACCGCGTACAACCTTTCTATAAGTTCGAACTTTGACAAAAGTTCTACCATGATGATTTGGCTGGAATTTGGTTGACCATTTTGGTCGACTATATCCTTCGCCAAAGTCGACAACATGGTCGACTTCGAAAGCGACCAATATCCGGCCACATTTACAGGGCCGAAATATCTGACGCATTTGGTGGCCGACTTGCAGGCCGCTTTGCAAATGTGTCAGATTTTCAGTTCGTCAGGGTGGCCGGATTGTGCGACGGAGTCGCAGATGCAGTACTTGCGTGACACGTTGCGTCGGACGAGTTGGCGACGTCGCGTAGTAACTGTAGCGATTTCAGGTCGACAAATTGGTCGACTTTCGAGTCGACTGCATGTCGGAACTTTGTCGAATGCTGAACCGGTCATCAAATTTTTAAGAAATGGCAGGATTTGGCGAAGTGCACGAATATCTGTGCGAACATCGCGAAAATGTTACCTTCTTTAATTCCGGCCGGCCGGATTTTTCCGACAACGGATCTGACGCACCCTTAGTGTGGCAGAGCCCTGAGCCCGAACCGGCCTTGGGCCTAATTGATTGGTTTGGGGATTTGATCTCGGGGCTGGCGGAGATTGGAGGCTTGAGAAGGATGGCCAGGGCTCCCACATTATTTTTGCATAACCTGTGCGTAATTGAAAACATAAGCACCAGGGACGTCGCTAGCAGAAATTTTTTGTCTGTTTGTCCTATATTTGAGGGCTAGTTTTTTATTTAATCTGATAATTCAGAAATATGCACTTAGTGAAATCTGTTCATTCAGAAATGCTTTTCAGCTGTATCTGATCCACCAGAAACGGTTTCCATGTTCATCTGATACATCAGGAACACTTTCGGGTTTCGTCTGTTACCGAATCTTTCTACCCTTAGGCGTGATTCACGCGTGAGCAAGGCGTGGTGTGGGTGTTTAGCCGTGATTACCGGAATGTATGCATCATACATTCCGCCCCCTGTGCTCCCACGTGTTTCTTTCGCCACCACATCCACAAAATGCCGCTGCAACAGGCAAACAGTCAGGTTCTATGACGCACTCACGTGATGTCTGCGTCACGAATTGCCCACGCAGGATAGTTACTGTCGTACGTGGCCTGTCACAAGTGTGGGATTGGCTAGTTTAGAACAACAGTCATCAATCCAGCACCACAAACCCACAATTTCGGCGCCTGACGAAGGTTCAGGAAGCGCGGTTTGGGTTCACCACAGTCAAGTGGTGCCACCCACAGTTCTCGGGAGCCATGCGCGGTTCGTCAACAGGGCTCTGTGGTCGGGCGTTGGGGTTTCGGGGGGGTCTTTCGTCTCCAACCTTCTCTTACAAACGCCCTACCCAGCCATTTTCACCGCGATTACAGACGGTTCTCGCCCTAGTCACGTAAGACCGCCCTCTCGCCATGGCGGACGACACGGAAGCTGCTGAATCACCCACCCCACGGCCCAAACCACCAGTCACGGGCCTAGATTTCCTACGCCGCTCCCAGCCAGCCGCCGTGTTAGGCGCGTCTTCGCCGACACGCGTTCCAACGTCTTCTTCCCCGAATCGGCAGGACGTCACTCCTGTTTCATGGCCTGCTGTTAATGCTAGACGGGCTTTCAGTAGCACACCGCCCGTCTCCCCTAGTACCTCTACACGGATTACACCTAATCCTAGATCGCAAGCGGCGCCTAGCACTTCACGTGGTACTGCCGTGCCCCGATTCCCCAAGGCAGGCCGATATACCCAGAGCACGCTGCGGATTGCTAAGACAGGGGTTCCTCACGTCCGCATCGTGTCACGCCCCACGCCAGCGCCTAGAGTTGAGGCTGCTGCAGCATCAGCAGCACCAGCAGCTCATCCCACAGGTGATCCTGGGCCTTCCAGGAGCACCATCCATGTCCCTGATCCAGACTCGCTTATGGAGAAGCTCCAAGAGCTGTCGAAGGAATATTGGCGCGACAAATTCAAGTGGCTGATTATCACGCAGAGGAAGGACGGGACGCAATGCATGAAGTGCAGCATATGCATAGCTCACGGTCCAGCCCACTGGAAGTTCGGTAAGAACGGCGAAGGTGGCGTTGATATCCAGCGGCAAACGATGCGGAAGCACGCGCTCAGCCGGAAGCATCAGGACGCCGTCAATGCCCAGCTTCGCGCCGAAGGCGGTAAGGTTGACCAAAGGGGCATTGAGGAGTTCGAAAACGACGACAACGAGACGTCGCGGCTGAAACAATTGATGCTGGTCGTGCTATTTATCTGCAAATCCGATTCCCCCATCTCCCTGTTCGTTGATCTTGTTCGCCTGTTGGCCGAGCTTCAGACGCCGCACATCCCGGACAAGTCCATAGGGACATACCAGTCAGCGTGAGTGAAAAGTCCTTCTTGTTTTGTGTATTTATCGTCACTATGACTAATACCACCTTCACTGTGTTGTGCAGGTACGGCTTCCGTGAAATAACCGAAGCGCTCGTCACCAACCTGAAGCAGCAGCTGATGCGCCACATCCAGGCGTCTCCGTTCCTAGGAATTCAACTCGACGAGAGTACCGACCGGCGCAGAGGCAAGCATACGATCGTCTACCTGAGCTTCATTCGCGACGCCGAGGTCGTCACCGAGCTGTTTGGGCACCTGACAGTCGAGAAGTGCGACGCGTCGTCTCTGCTGACAGTACTTCTCGCCCATTTGGCCGTCACGGGCGTCGACATCATGAAATTGTCGGGCATCAGTACGGATGGCGCGAGCGTGATGCGGGGTTCACAGGCTGGAGTGGCGACCCAACTGAAACTGCGAGTCCCACACCTGGTGACGTGCCACTGCATCGCTCACAGGTGCGATGACAACATTTCTGTAACGGTGGTTTTTGTTTTTGTTGTCACACGTTTTGCATTGTTCAAACCGCTTGTTATTGCACTCTTGCAGGGAGGCTCTCGCCGCGAAGGACGCGGCGGAGGCGGTGACCGACCTCAACATGGTCGACACGGTCGTGCGGAGCATCGCAGAGAACTTGGGGAGGAGCATCGTCTTGCACTCCCGGTTCATGGAGCTACACACATCCTGCACGAGACGTCTCTGGAGGTGCAGGGGTTTAAAGACGTTCGATGGCTGGCGCGTGGCGATGCGATTCGGAGGCTCGTGGCAGTCCTACCGGCGGCGATAGTGGTGTTGTGGGAGCAAGACAAGAAGGCCTACAAGAGAGTCTCGAGTTTCAAGTTCCACTTCTTCCTGTTTTTCCTGGCAGATTTGCTGAAACTGCTCAACGAGCTGAACCTCAAGTTTCAACGGCGCACGATGAGCAGTTGAGAGGTCCGTGCTGATGTTTATGCACACGAGCGTGTCTGACTATTGCGTCTTGCCTTGAGCAGGTGGACATCACCCGGGTGGCATCAATGGTCCACAACACGTGCGACAAGCTGAAGCAGCGATACATCGAGCACGGCGTCAACTACGCTGAGGATAATGAGTTGCTCACAGAGTTCATGGAGAAGCACGGAGCGTGGGACAAGCGGGAGGTGACGGTCGAAGGCATGGATGGGGAGGGAAGTCCCGTCAAGCACACTTTCAAGCTGCACGAGGAAGCCATCAAGGGTCAGAAGTCCAAAGGGGACCTTGAATCTTGCATCACTGTAACCCGCCAGTTTGCGCAGGAAGTTGTGAAGCACCTCCTAAAGCGGATGGAGAGCCTAGACACCCTCACCGGAGCGAAGCTTTTCCTGCCTGACGCGTACCCCGAGGGAAGCGTGAAGAGAGACCGCCTCTGCGCATCCTGGTTCCAGTCTCTCCGCACGCTGTTCAGTGCGGAGAAGTGCGTACTTCCAGGTAATCTGTGCGTCTCTGTGGTGCATCTATGTTAGTCGCTCGGTGATATGTTACCGCCAATGACTTATCTCCCCGTCGCCCCCCCCCCCTCTTGTACTTGCAATTGTGCGTGAGCAGGAGTGAGCTGGAAAAAGGCGGGACGAGAACTGGTGCCGTTCACCAAGATGATGGCCGCGCAGTTCAAGGACCAGACCTTCCACGCCGGCCTCAAGCACATGTTGCGCAGTGAAGACTGGGAGACGAGCTACCCCAACATGGTCCGCATCTGGATCGCCCTCGCCGTGCTGCCGTTGAGCACCGTCGAGTGCGAGCGCGGCTTCTCGAGGCAAAACATCATCAAATCGTGGCTCCGCGGGAATCTTTGCAACACACGCCTGGCGGACCTGATGTCGGTGTCGCTCCTGCAGTACGAGCCGAACTGGGACGACGTGGTGGCTGCTTGGAGGGGGGCAAAGAAGAGGCGCCCTGCTAAGGAAGTGACGACCAAGAACACTCCAGAGAGAGCCCCAAAGCGGAAGGCCGAGAGAGGAACGTCAGGTGCTGCCTCCAATGAAGACGAAGATGATGAGGATGTGGTCAGGCGGAGGACCTCTAAGAAGGGCAAGGCATGTGCAGCTCTAGCACTGTCGGACGACAGTGATGATGACAATAGGCTTGATGTCCGCGCCACTGTGGCGCTAGAGTCTGACAATGAGTAGAGTACAGTAGATGTAAATTGTATTGTAACACCTCACCAGTAGTTACATAACTTCCTTGTGATGTGATAGTTCTTTTAGTATTGATGAGACTTCAGCTAATGCCAGTCATGTTGCAATCCTAATAAAAAAAAAAAAAAAAAAAACAGACAAGCATGTGCTTTAAGATCTGACACATCAGACAGAGATTTTCGGAAACCCTGATCCAGCAGACAGGGAAGCACTCGGCCTACTGATGAAGCAGACGGGCCCTTCGGGCCCGTCTACTCCATCAGGCTGCCTCAGATCCTAGCGACGTCCCTGATAAGCACGGAAACGAGCTGGTAAACAAGCTTATTTTCTCAATACCGGTACCATAAGCTGTCTGATATAGACAGAAATATCAGCGTGTTCTGTTCTGTAAACAACAATGGGTTTTCTTACACATAGGAGATGCAGCAAGCATGCACCGCATATCTGCTGAACATGGAAGCACTAGCTCATGCTTCTAACCATACCGTATAATATCCTGTTTCCGTTAGGATGACTAGCCCTAGCCTAGAGCAACTAGATGGTGCACCATCAATGACAAGCAAGCAACCCATTCATGCTACAACTGTTTGTGTGGTGCTGATGGTGCGGCTGCTGCTGCTGCCGCTGCTGAGGCTGCTGCTGCTACAGGCTCCACTACAGGCTCCGGTGGAGGTTGCATGGCTGTAGCGGCGCCTTGCAACCATGCTGCTACAGCCATGGCTCCAGGATCAGGCACTGACGCCAACACCTCTGCTGGTACATAGCTGGACCTGCCAGCCTGTGGAAGTGGGGAACCATGTGTTGATGGATGTAATGAATCAAACAGTGTTTAATGAATCAAACAGTGTTCAATGAATCAAACAGTGTTTGCTGAATCGTATATCTAGCGTTTCAAATACCCGCAGAATGTTACATGCTATTGAGAGCCTCGGCTTATGTCACACAGATGAATACAGGGATGCAGAAAAAGATACTTTCAAGTACAGGACAGCAGTGCTGAGCCAGCACTGTTCCTCACACACTGGGAAAACTGCGAATATAGAGGAGAGAAATTTGAGATGGACAAGAGCTGGTATTGGCTTGGTCAACTCACCATAGCTGGCATTGGCTTAGTTGTCTCACCAGAGCTGGCATTGACTTGGTTGACACACCAGAGCTGGCATTGACTTGGTTGACTCACCAGAGCTGGCATTGACTTGGTTGACTCGGCTCCTGCAGCAGCAGCCTGAGCAGCAGCTGCCAGCGCTGCCGCTGCAGACTCCCCTGCGTTGAAACTGCTCGAAAGAGAGGCAGCGGCGGGCAGCAGAGCATCCAGCATGGTACGGTAGCCTGCTTGAGCGCCGCCGTACAGACTCACTGCTGCCACTGCCGCCTCAAATGCCGCTGCCCCTGGGGATAGGAAGGCAGGGAGAGAAGGGCGGGGAGGGGGAGGGGGGGGGTCGGGTGGTGGGGGGTTGGGAAAGCAGGGAGGGAGGAAGGAAGGGGTTCAGGGAGGGCAGGGAAGAGAAGGGATTGAGACGTGTGTCAGGTCTCTTGGTCAGGGTTGATACTGCGAGAGAGAGTGGCAGCGGCGGGCAGCAGAGCATCCAGCATGGTGCGGTAGCCAGCTTGAGCGCCGCCGTACAGACCCACCGCCACCTCAAATGCAGCCGCCCCTGGTGATAGGGAGGCAGGAGGATAGGGGAGGGGAGGGGCGGCATGGGAGGAAACATCGACAGGACATACGAAGGAAAGATGATGCAGCAAAGAATACATTGATGGACGGCATTTGAGTGGAGGCGCGCCAGATGACGAGTCTTAGACTAGGAGAGTAGGAAGGGAAGGAGAGATTCAGCCAGGAGAGGAGGGAAAGGAGGGAGGGGAGGGAGGGGAGGGAGAGGAGGGAGAGGAGGGAGAGGAGGGAGAGGAGGGAGAGGAAAGAGAGGAGGGAGAGAAGGGAGAGGAGGGAGAGGAGGGAGAGGAGGGAGAGGAGGGAGAGGAGGGAGAGGAGGGAGAGGAGGGAGAGGAGGGAGAGGAGGGAGAGGAGGGAGAGGAGGGAGAGGAGGGAGAGGAGGGAGAGTGAGTAGAGAGAGGAGGGAGAGGAGGGAGAGGAGGGAGAGGAGGGAGAGGAGGGAGAGGAGGGAGAGGAGGGAGAGGAGGAAGAGTATGGAGAGGAGGGAAAGGAGGGACATAAGGAAGAGGAGGGAGGGGGGGGACACATACAGTGAGCAGGGGTGGGCTGTGCTGCTGGGCCTGCAAGCTCCCTCAGCTTCACATATGCGGAGCGGCAGAAGATGTCGTATCTGCAGGGGGGAAGACAGACAGGGGTGAGCAGGAGTGAGTAGGAGTGAGCAGGAGCGAGTAGGGGTAGGCAGGAAGCAGGCTGGGTAGAAAGGAGAGTGGAAGAAAGAGGGGCAAAGCCGCAAATTGAGCGAGTGACTGTGCAACTCTTGAACTTTTGAGGCGCCTCAAAAGTCGTAAAAGAAGTGACTGTGCAACTCTTGAACAAGTCCTTTCATCAGGACAAGCAGTGGGCCAGCAGTGATCAACAGAAGGCACGCAACAGCCCTCATATCCCCATCCCCTCAACCCCCTTGCCTCCCCCTTCCCCTCCACACTCACATCACTCCGCTTGTTCCCCCCATGGAACACCGCACACTGGCGCCCATCTCCCTCACTGTTGCTGGTGCATCATTGAGCGGGTATCTGGGACACACGGGGAGGGGGAAGGAGAATGAGGAAGAGGACAAAAGAGGACAGGGAGTGGGTTGCAGATTGGTGGGGGGGTAGGAGACGGGAGGGTAGGAGACGGGAGGGTAGGAGACGGGGGGGTTGGAGGTGAGAAGTTGGGAGACTACGAGGCTAAAATAACAAGTAGACAAAAAAGCAGAGACAGTGAGGAGAGGGGGGGGGGGGGGGGGGGGGGGAAGTCGCAAAAGCAGTGTGCGGACCTTGAGGCGAGGGCGTCGAAAACTGCCTTGGCCCCACGACTCATCTGAATGCATGGGGATAGGCAAGGTGGGGAGGGGAGGAAAAGGGTGTGCACGAGGGGGTGCCACGTTTGGAGATTAGACGGCAGTGATGAGTGCTTGAGGCGAGGGCGTCGAAAACTGCCTTGGCCCCACGACTCATCTGAATGCATGGGGATAGGCAAGGTGGGGAGGGGAGGAAAAGGGTGTGCACGAGGGGGTGCCACGTTTGGAGATTAGACGGCAGTGATGAGTGCTTGAGGCGAGGGCGTCGAAAACTGCCTTGGCCCCACGACTCATCTGAATGCATGGGGATAGGCAAGGTGGGGAGGGGAGGAAAAGGGTGTGCACGAGGGGGTGCCACGTTTGGAGATTAGACGGCAGTGATGAGTGCTTGAGGCGAGGGCGTCGAAAACTGCCTTGGCCCCACGACTCATCTGAATGCATGGGGATAGGCAAGGTGGGGAGGGGAGGAAAAGGGTGTGCACGAGGGGGTGCCACGTTTGGAGATTAGACGGCAGTGATGAGTGCTTGAGGCGAGGGCGTCGAAAACTGCCTTGGCCCCACGACTCATCTGAATGCATGGGGATAGGCAAGGTGGGGAGGGGAGGAAAAGGGTGTGCACGAGGGGGTGCCACGTTTGGAGATTAGACGGCAGTGATGAGTGCTTGAGGCGAGGGCGTCGAAAACTGCCTTGGCCCCACGACTCATCTGAATGCATGGGGATAGGCAAGGTGGGGAGGGGAGGAAAAGGGTGTGCACGAGGGGGTGCCACGTTTGGAGATTAGACGGCAGTGATGAGTGCTTGAGGCGAGGGCGTCGAAAACTGCCTTGGCCCCACGACTCATCTGAATGCATGGGGATAGGCAAGGTGGGGAGGGGAGGAAAAGGGTGTGCACGAGGGGGTGCCACGTTTGGAGATTAGACGGCAGTGATGAGTGCTTGAGGCGAGGGCGTCGAAAACTGCCTTGGCCCCACGACTCATCTGAATGCATGGGGATAGGCAAGGTGGGGAGGGGAGGAAAAGGGTGTGCACGAGGGGGTGCCACGTTTGGAGATTAGACGGCAGTGATGAGTGCTTGAGGCGAGGGCGTCGAAAACTGCCTTGGCCCCACGACTCATCTGAATGCATGGGGATAGGCAAGGTGGGGAGGGGAGGAAAAGGGTGTGCACGAGGGGGTGCCACGTTTGGAGATTAGACGGCAGTGATGAGTGCTTGAGGCGAGGGCGTCGAAAACTGCCAGAGCCAGTACCAATGAGTCAACTCATGTGCGTATGTATGATTTTGAGGTGCCTCAAAAATTGCCAGTACCATAGAGTCGACTCATGTGCGTATGTATGAGTCGACTCATGTGCGTATGTATGAGTCGACTCATGTGCGTATGTATGATTTTGAGGTGCCTCAAAAATTGCCAGTACCATAGAGTCGACTCATGTGCGTATGTATGAGTCGACTCATGTGCGTATGTATGAGTCGACTCATGTGCGTATGTATGATTTTGAGGTGCCTCAAAAATTGCCAGTACCATAGAGTCGACTCATGTGCGTATGTATGAGTCGACTCATGTGCGTATGTATGAGTCGACTCATGTGCGTATGTATGAGTCGACTCATGTGCGTATGTATGAGTCGACTCATGTGCGTATGTATGAGTCGACTCATGTGCGCATGTATGAGTGGACTCATGTGCGTATGTATGAGTCGACTCATGTGCGCATGTATGAGTCGACTCATGTGCGTATGTATGAGTCGACTCATGTGCGTATGTATGATTTTGAGGTGCCTCAAAAATTGCCAGTACCATAGAGTCGACTCATGTGCGTATGTATGAGTCGACTCATGTGCGTATGTATGAGTCGACTCATGTGCGTATGTATGATTTTGAGGTGCCTCAAAAATTGCCAGTACCATAGAGTCGACTCATGTGCGTATGTATGAGTCGACTCATGTGCGTATGTATGAGTCGACTCATGTGCGTATGTATGAGTCGACTCATGTGCGTATGTATGAGTCGACTCATGTGCGTATGTATGAGTCGACTCATGTGCGTATGTATGAGTCGACTCATGTGCGCATGTATGAGTCGACTCATGTGCGTATGTATGAGTCGACTCATGTGCGCATGTATGAGTCGACTCATGTGCGTATGTATGAGTCGACTCATGTGCGTATGTATGAGTCGACTCATGTGCGTATGTATGAGTCGACTCATGGGAGTATGTATGAGTCGACTCATGTGCGCATGTATGAGTCGACTCATGTGCGTATGTATGAGTCGACTCATGTGCGTATGTATGAGTCGACTCATGTGCGTATGTATGAGTCGACTCATGTGCGTATGTATGAGTCGACTCATGTGCGTATGTATGAGTCGACTCATGTGCGTATGTATGAGTCGACTCATGTGCGTATGTATGAGTCGACTCATACGCACATAGTCGACTCATGTGCGCATGTATGAGTCGACTCATGTGCGCATGTATGAGTCGACTATGTGCGTATGTATGAGTCGACTCATGTGCGTATGTATGAGTCGACTCATGTGAGTATGTATGAGTCGACTCATGTGCGCATGTATGAGTCGACTCATGTGCGTATGTATGAGTCGACTCATGTGCGTATGTATGAGTCGACTCATGTGCGTATGTATGAGTCGACTCATGTGAGTATGTATGAGTCGACTCATGTGCGCATGTATGAGTCGACTCATGTGCGTATGTATGAGTCGACTCATGTGCGTATGTATGAGTCGACTCGTGTGCGTATGTATGAGTCGACTCATGTGCGTATGTATGAGTCGACTCATGTGCGTATGTATGAGTCGACTCATGTGCGTATGTATGAGTCGACTCATGTGCGTATGTATGAGTCGACTCATGTGCGTATGTATGAGTCGACTCATGTGCGTATGTATGAGTCGACTCATGTGCGCATGTATGAGTCGACTCATGTGCGCATGTATGAGTCGACTCATGTGCGTATGCATGAGTCGACTCATGTGCGCATGTATGAGTCGACTCATGTGCGTATGTATGAGTCGACTCATGTGCGTATGTATGAGTCGACTCATGTGCGTATGTATGAGTCGACTCATGTGCGTATGTATGAGTCGACTCATGTGCGTATGTATGAGTCGACTCATGTGCGTATGTATGAGTCGACTCATGTGCGTATGTATGATTTTGAGGTGCCTCAAAAATTGCCAGTACCATAGAGTCGACTCATGTGCGTATGTATGAGTCGACTCATGTGCGTATGTATGAGTCGACTCATGTGCGTATGTATGAGTCGACTCATGTGCGTATGTATGAGTCGACTCATGTGCGTATGTATGAGTCGACTCATGTGCGCATGTATGAGTCGACTCATGTGCGTATGTATGAGTCGACTCATGTGCGCATGTATGAGTCGACTCATGTGCGTATGTATGAGTCGACTCATGTGCGTATGTATGAGTCGACTCATGTGCGTATGTATGAGTCGACTCATGTGAGTATGTATGAGTCGACTCATGTGCGCATGTATGAGTCGACTCATGTGCGTATGTATGAGTCGACTCATGTGCGTATGTATGAGTCGACTCATGTGCGTATGTATGAGTCGACTCATGTGCGCATGTATGAGTCGACTCATGTGCGTATGTATGAGTCGACTCATGTGCGTATGTATGAGTCGACTCATGTGCGCATGTATGAGTCGACTCATGTGCGCATGTATGAGTCGACTCATGTGCGTATGTATGAGTCGACTCATGTGCGTATGTATGAGTCGACTCATGTGAGTATGTATGAGTCGACTCATGTGCGCATGTATGAGTCGACTCATGTGCGCATGTATGAGTCGACTCATGTGCGTATGTATGAGTCGACTCATGTGCGTATGTATGAGTCGACTCATGTGCGTATGTATGAGTCGACTCATGTGCGTATGTATGAGTCGACTCATGTGCGTATGTATGAGTCGACTCATGTGCGTATGTATGAGTCGACTCATGTGCGTATGTATGAGTCGACTCATGTGCGTATGTATGAGTCGACTCATGTGCGCATGTATGAGTCAACTCATGTGCGCATGTATGAGTCAACTCATGTGCGTATGTATGAGTCGACTCATGTGCGCATGTATGAGTCGACTCATGTGCGTATGTATGAGTCGACTCATGTGCGTATGTATGAGTCGACTCATATGCGTATGTATGAGTCGACTCATGTGCGTATGTATGAGTCGACTCATGTGCGCATGTATGAGTCGACTCATGTGCGCATGTATGAGTCGACTCATGTGCGTATGTATGAGTCGACTCATGTGCGTATGTATGAGTCGACTCATGTGCGTATGTATGAGTCGACTCATGTGCGTATGTATGAGTCGACTCATGTGCGTATGTATGAGTCGACTCATGTGCGTATGTATGAGTCGACTCATGTGCGCATGTATGAGTCGACTCATGTGCGCATGTATGAGTCGACTCATGTGCGTATGTATGAGTCGACTCATGTGCGTATGTATGAGTCGACTCATGTGCGTATGTATGAGTCGACTCATGTGCGTATGTATGAGTCGACTCATGTGCGCATGTATGAGTCAACTCATGTGCGCATGTATGAGTCGACTCATGTGCGCATGTATGAGTCGACTCATGTGCGTATGTATGAGTCGACTCATGTGCGTATGTATGAGTCGACTCATGTGCGTATGTATGAGTCGACTCATGTGCGTATGTATGAGTCGACTCATGTGCGTATGTATGAGTCGACTCATGTGCGTATGTATGAGTCGACTCATGTGCGTATGTATGAGTCGACTCATGTGCGTATGCATGAGTCGACTCATGTGCGTATGTATGAGTCGACTACTGGTGACCTCAGAGTCTACTCAACTCAACAGCAAGCTCCCTATCTCCAAGCCCCTCCACCTCACCGTGCTGCCACAGTCCCCATCACCGATCTTGGCATCCCATGCATTCAGATGCGCTGCCAGAGCAAGCACGGCCCTCTGCTTCATTGAATGTTTCCCCCTTCCTCAAGCTCTCCCCTCTCACCGTGCTGCCGCAGTCCCCATCACCGATCTTGGCATCCCATGCATTCAGATCCGCTGCCAGAGCCAGCACGGCCTGGGCGCCCCCCCGAATACACCGCTCCAGGCACCGCCCCTCCTCTGTCAACTCCTTTGGACGCTCACACGCTGATGCCTGGGGGATTTGGGGGAGTGGAGAGGGGGGTTGAGCGGGAAGGAGCAAGGGTGTGGGGGGGGTGGGGGTGCGGGGGATGGAGGGGCATCATGGGGGCTGGTTTTTGAGAATTCTCAAAAACCAGCTCGGGATGGAGGGGCATCATGGGGGCAGAAGCGCATGGAGCACAAATGTTCCATCCCATGCCTTCAGGTCCGCTGCCAGGTCGTTTTTGAGGCGCCTCAAAAACGACCTCGATGTTCCATCCCATCCCATGCCTTCACGTCCGCTGCCAGGGCCAGCACGGCCTGAGCGCCCCCCCAAAAGCACCGCTCCATGCACCGCCCCTCCTCTGTTAATTCCTACGGACGCACACATGCTGATGCCTGGGAGGCATGGTGGGCGTGTACAGGGGCATGGGGGACGGGACGTAGCATACATCTGTGAGTGGAATCATGGAACAGTCTCAAAGGACTTGCTGGTAGGAGTGGGACAGGATGGAATGGAGCGTACAGGTTGGGAGCCTGGCGGGGCAGGAGGGAGCGGCACTGGCACCTTGGTGGCTGGTCGCGCACCTGAGTGGGAAGAGGACGGGAGGAGAGAGAGAGAGAGAGAGAGAGAGAGAGCGTGGAGACAAAAGGAAGGGCGTCTTGAGCGCTCTCACGCACTCTCTCATCTAAATGCATATGATGGGGATGGGCGCACTCACTCATTCAATGATGTTTCAGGCACTTGAGGCATGAGAGGAAGAAACCCACCTTGGCAGGCGTTAGGCCATGCAGGGGCGAGCGTTGGGGCGTCCAGTCGCTGCAACACTTGATCGTCCACCTTGAGCACTGAGAGGGAGAGGCCTGTGATGGGGGCACATCATAAGGACAAACAAAATTACAAAAGAAGATGAGAGGCGAGCGTTGGGGCGTCTAGCCTCTGCAGCACTTGATCGTGTCCACCTTGAGCACTGAGAGGGACAGGCCTGTGCGAGAGGCAAATTAAACAGGGCAAAAAAAAAAAAAAAGTCAAATGAGTCAACCGGAGTTAGCACAAGCCACCAGAAGTAAACCACACTCCACAGAAATTTCACACAGAATGCACCTGACCAGACAGCACCTGACAGCACCTGTGGCAGAGTGTGTGGTGCATGTCACCTGACATGTCGAGGGACGTCATGAAGTGGCCTGCATACACTCGCTCCACTGCCAACCCATGCTCCACCTGCCATGCCATGGTGTACAAATGGTGCAGAGGGATGCAGCGGGATGCAGAGGAGTGCAGTGAGACACAGACAGGGTGAATGGCATGCATACACTCGCTCCACTGCCAGCCCATGCTCCACCTGCCATGGTGCACACAGGGGCGCAGAGAGGCATGCAGAAGGGCGCAGAGGCGTGAAGAGGTGTGCAGAGGCCTGATTAGCGGTGTGGAGGGGTGCAGCGACATGGTGTGCAGACGCAGACGGAGAGTCACAGACAGAGAGATTTGTGGGAGGCTGGGAGCTAAGGTGTGGTATTACATTGTTAGAGCGTATTTCATCCCCAAAAGAATCATCATCACCTGTAGTTGCGCTACAGCCTTGCCTGCCGCAATCATGACCTCCATAGCTGGTGTTGCGCCCAGGCTGGGAGAAGGGGGAAGGAGGAGGGCGGGCGGGGGGATGGGGAATGGGGGGAATGGGGCGAAGGGAGCATAGCGGCAGGGAAAGGGGGAGGTAGGTGTGGAGGAAGCGGGTAGAAGAAGGGGAGCAGACAGAGTGGAAGCACAGGAGCGAGTCTGGCAGGAGAGTTGTACCCCAGGGTGGCTATAGGGGAAGGGAGCGAGAGGGGTTCGAAAGGGAAGGTGGTAAAGGGGGAAAACGAGGGGGGAGGAAGAGGAAACACGTGCGAGGACACGAGGGTGGAATCGTGAGCACACCAGCTGGCCACGACCAGACCATACCTGTTCACCATACCTGTTCACCATACCTATTCACCGTACCTGTTCACCGTACCTGTTCACCGTACCTGTTCACCATACCTGTTCACCATACCTGTTCACCATACCTGTTCACCATACCTGTTCACCATACCTGTTCACCATACCTGTTCACCATACCTGTTCACCATACCTGTTCACCATACCTGTTCACCATACCTGTTCACCATGAGTGCTACTCTGCTGCCGAGTTTGAGAGGCATGTAGCCTGTCTCCTGAGAGCGATGGGTATGTTTGAAATGAGGGAAGGAAGAGAATGGAAGGGGGAAAATGGAAGGATAAGGAATGGGAAAAGTGAGGATCGGGAGTGGGAGGAATGGGAGTGGGAGAAATGGGAGTGGGAGAAATGGGAGTGGGAGGAATGGGAGTGGGAGGAATGGGAGTGGGAGGAATGGGAGTGGGAGGAATGGGATGGGAGGAATGGGAGTGGGAGGAATGGGAGTGGGAGGAATGGGATGGGAGGGGTTGGATGGAAAGGAAGCAGAGACTGTAAGAGGTCAGATGACAGCTGGGAGCTGATTTCGGTGCTCTCAGATGACAACTGGGAGCTGATTTCGGTGCTCTCAGATGACAACTGGGAGCTGATTTCGGTGCTCTCAGATGACAACTGGGAGCTGATTTCGGTGCTCTCAGATGACAACTGGGAGCTGATTTCGGTGCTCTCAGATGACAACTGGTTGAAGAGGAAGATATCGGGTTGTTGTTCATACTTTTGAGCCCAGTGCATGAACGATATCGATCAAGAAGGACGCTTAAAGAAGTTGTTTACATTTCAAAGCACTGTGACTCACGGGGTGGCATCAAAAGCCGGACTCACGGGGTTGTTGATGGTCTTGAGCATGTGCGAGACCACAACATCCACTGGCTGCATGTCCACCACTGCTGCTCCTGGCTCGCCGTGCTGCATGCATGGACAGAGGATTGCATGATAGGGCAGATCAGATCATGTCAGTCAGGCATCGTTGCACGAGGCACGCACATATTCATACCCACAGACAGACGTGGGTACTCCATCCAGCACAGCGCACGCCACAGACGGAGGAGATCGATCGCATGGTGGTAGCCTGGTAGGGCAGAGCAGATGAATGCGCACGCATAGAGACATGGAATATCGCACACATGGAGGCCGCATGTGGACAGACAGGCTACAAGGTAGCCGCATTCGCTCACAATGATTAGCCCTATTCCCCCCACCACCACCACTCATTATGCCCAACCCGATCCCATGCCCACCCAATCAATATGGCCAGCCATGCCCCCCCCACTCACAATGCCAAGCCCGAGTTCCATTTTGGTGGCAGGGAGTCGATCAGAAGGGAAGCCTCCCGGCACGGTGCACACAGAGAGGCCCACCCCCATGGTGCCCACCAGGCCTGCAGTACGGGCGAAGGGGGGGGAATGGGGGAGGGGAGGAGGAGAGGGTGGGAATGAAAGGGAGTCAGTCGGAGGGGAAGCCCCCCGGCACTGTGCACACAGAGAGGCCCATCCCCATGGTGCCCACCAGACCTGTGCGTTAAGGGGGTGGAGGATTCGGGAAAGAGGGTGGGAATGAAAGGAGGACAAAGGGAAGGAATGGCACCTGGCAGGCACGGTGCAGACAGAGAGGCCCACCCCCATGGTGCCCACCAGGCCAGGCAGGTAACGTGGGAGTGGGGAGGCGAGGCGGGGGAGAGGGGGAGATGGGGGGTGGGAGAGGCGGGATTGGGAGAGGGTGGGAATGATATGGAAGGATGACAAGCGGCCAAAAAAGGAAAACACACACACAAATTCCCCAAAACCAGCATTCTGCTATGTCTGACCCACAGAGAATCCTAATACAGTCCCCACCTGCCACCTGGCGAGCCTCTGCTGCCACGTCAGCTAGTGACTTGCCCTCCTCTGCAGCTGCTCCTGCCACCTGCAGTGGGGGGGGGGGGGGGGAAAGGGACGGCAGGTGGGGGATGGAGAGTTGAATACAAGATATGGCCTCGGGGAATTGAATGTGGTGTGTCAGGGGGGGGGGGGGGGGGTGGGACAACTAGGTACACAGGAGGAAGAAGGAATCCTGACCCTTGCGTGAAGAAAACCTTGTCATATTTTTGGGGGGGTGGGACTCATACATGCTACGAAATTCCAAAATCGCTTTTCACGCATGCATGCATGCATGCACCTCGTTCTGCATACCCTCCTGTCCTAACACAAACCCAACCCGAGCACGTCCCACCCACCCACCTTGTGCACAAAGACTGTCCCGGCCAGGCCTGGTCGTTGTTTAGAATCCTCAAAAACTAGGAATCCGAGCACATCCCACTCACCCACCCACCTACCCACCCACCTTGTGAACAAAGACTGTCCCAGCCAGGCCTCTTCTCCCAGCAATGCCACGAGGGGGCGGCAGCGCACAGTCGTCCCCCACCACCACCATCTGACGATATGATCAGGTCAGGGCACACGGGCGAGTAAGAGAAGTGAGCAAGAGAGTGGTGAGGACGAGGAGAAGGTGGGGACGAGCAGGAAGGGACGTGGCAAGCAGAGGCCCAGCCATCTAAAAACCCAGGGGAAAGCGGAATGCACCACAGGTGGGAGTATCGTGTTCAGGAAGCAAAGCGACTGACTGACTGATTGACTGCCGAACTCACATCGACTTTAAAGCCCTCCTCTTTGGCTTGCTCTGCTGCCAGTCCAAAGTTCAGCCTATCGCCTGTATAGCTCTGGGAGGAAGGAAGAAATGGAGAACCGGAATGAAAGGGAAGACGGGAATGGAAGCCGACCCAAGAGTCAGTTGCAGGCCCGTGCAATGCAATATGTACTTTTGGGAGGAAAGTAACAGTTGGGCCAATGCGATGGTGGTTGGTTCGGTTTCAGGTTGCTTTGACAAATTCCAAAAGGACACACCTTGACGATCAAGAGGCAGCCAGCTGGACCAGTCACTGCCCGAATGGCCTGGGGAAAAACAAACAAACAAGCAAACAAACAAACCAGATACGAGACAGATACAGGACAAGAGGAGTTTCGTTTGGACAGGCGTTAAAAACGAGCAAAGGTGTGTATTTGGCCTGGAGCATGGCAAGTGGTGCGGTACCTACAGAAGCAGGCAAGGGCAAGGGCTATCTTGCATTACTAACCTACAACTACATACATCGTAAGGGCAAGGGCTCATTGCAACTACATACATAGTAGTGCTGTACCGTACCATGAGAACAGCGTTGACTGAAGGCGAGGCAAAGACATCCCCACAGACGGCAGCAGTGAGCATGCCCTTCCCCACGAACCCTGCATGAGCTGGCTCGTGCCCGCTCCCGCCGCCCGAAATGATTGCCACCTTCCCGTACGTCCCTCTGCTGACGTCAGCTCGCAGCACCACCTTCACCTGCATTCATTGATTTCGCCAGAAACGTTTCATGATTTTCTGCAGCTGACGAACGGTTGGGATTTGGCGAATCCTCTCGCATTAGATTAGACAGCTAGAAATTTGAGCCGCTCTCTGCTGCTGGGGTGGGACAATTTGCATAGCTGAAGGGTATTCAGTATAGTTTAGCATATTGAAAGTTGCAAAATAGAAATGGAAATTTTCGACCGATCTTCTTGCACAAAGAATCATGGGCGGACCTCACGTTGCCATCCAGTCCAGACAAACATCCAGAAAGAAAGCCATTCTGGAAGACATTTAGATCATGGATGTTCTCCTTGAGTTGCATTTCAAGAATTCACTTAAACCCCTACAACTTTCAGGCGCCTGAGGGAGAAGCAAATCACGTCAGGGAAGTCGTTGAGGTACTGCAGGTTGGGGTAGGTCTCCACCAAGCCTTCGATCATCTCGACGACATTGTGTTTGAGGAGCCTAAAAAATAGACTTTGAGGCGCACGAGAGAGGAACTCACGTCAGGAAAGCCATCGAGGTTTGCAGGTTGGGGTAGGCCTCCACCAAGCCTTCGATCATCTCGAGGACTTTTGATGAGGCGCCTCAAAAGAGAATTTCCTTGAACCCCTACAACTTTGAGGCGCCTGAGGGGAGGAACTCACGTCAGGGAAGCCATCGAGGTACTGCAGGTTGGGGTAGGTCTCCACCAAGCCCTCGATCATCTCGAGGATACTATTTGAGGCGCCTCAATAATGTACTTTGAGGCGCATGAGAGAAGGAACTCACGTCAGGAAACCCGTCGAGGTACTGTAGATTGGGGTAGGTCTCCACCAAGCCTTCGATCATTTCGAGGACCACATCTGCGCGGCATATACACCCGGAATTGGGAGAATTCTGGAATTTTTAGACTCGCGAACATGCAGCAAGGCGGAAATGAGCTCAGCCGTGGCAGCTGAATTTGATTGTTCTTTGACGACTCACAGCAAGGCTTACTTGAAAACGTAAACGAGTTTTAGGGCGTCTTACTTAAACAGGGATACCATAACACATACGCCTTATGGCACGTGACACGTAACACACACGTAGGCCTTATGGCACCCGGCTGAAAATGGCACGTACTGGACCTTAGCCGCTTAGCCAACGCCTGGATATTTGCATCGCAAAGACGGAAATAAACGCGAAAGCGGGAATTGATAATTTGTACCTGATGGGTCATTTATAAGCTTCTTTGCGCCTGACATAGTTGACGTGCGCGAAATGCAGGGGCGAGTTTTGCGCTATTTCGTTAGAGCACGCGTCAATCAATCCGCGCTGCGATAAACGAATTGGACCTGACACGGAGAAATGTCAATGGTCACGCCTGCTGCGCTGGAAGAACAATAGTCAGGTCACTGAATAAGAGCCTTTCAAACACCATGAAATTCGTCCAATTTTAATTTCCAGACATTCAAGTTCACTGGTGACAGGGCGCGAACTAGCTGGCAGCTTGGTTCGGAAACTTGGATAACACCGAGGAGCTTGGTAGGGTAACTGCCACAGGTAGGCTTGGTGTGCTTGTGTCTTTTGACGGATGTGGTATGTTTGCCTTGGGATTGGTTGGTTCGGAGGTTTCAAACATGCCAAGGATGGGAGGGAGGCGTTTACGGTGAGGAACAAACGAGAATTTTGCTCAATCCCGCAGAAGCGCGGTTTGATTTTTTTTTATTGTGATCACAAACTTCAAGAGAATTTTATTTAAGTTCTGTACTGAACTGCCCGCGCGCAAAAATAAAACCCCTATAGGTAAGGCATGTGTTAGGGATGCATCAACCCTGAACGCCTAGAGGCAAGGTGTTTAGGGTTGATGCCTCCCTAACGCATGCCAGGCCCAAATGGGTTTTATTTTTGCCCGCGGGCAGCACAGTACAGAACTTAACAAATTTTGGGCAAATATAACAAGCTTCAAGTTTGTGATAACAATAAAACATATCGCGGTTCACGCGATTGAAGGCATGCCACGTTGAAATAATAAAACGAACCGCGATTCCGCGAGATTGAGCAAAACTCTCGGAACAAACGCCAGGTTTGGTACGCGCCCATCGAGTGCAGGAGTGATTTTTACACTGGTTTGATGGCGGGCTCGTTGCTGTGAAGATCTTGATCACAAGGTAGTGTGTTTGCGACGCTTGAAATACTTTTCGTGCTGGTGAATCGTACATCTTGTTTATGATCTTGTATTGGTACATCGAGTCCGCCAATACGAAGTAAAGTTCTGTGTTGGCATCCCGCACGTTGATGGGGATGGGCGACCTACCTGGAGGACAGAACTTCGTCCACCAGCCCAGTGTGACGGCCACCTGCGCCGTGCCTTCAGGTCATATTTTTCCACACTGTCTCATAACGGCGGCTTAGCTTGCCCAGAAAGAAAGGCTGCTATTATTTGTGAGACAGACTTATAATTAGACTAGATAGACACATACTGTACTTTAGAAAACCGAGTTCTTATCCTGCCCAGCGGCTTGCATTCCTTCAATAATTTTGGCGTCACGCCAAGTTCCAGCTGGATCAACCAGTCAGACCAGCCAAACCGCCTCCACGCAAATCTGCGATTCGAAAGAGGAAGGGGCAGGTGACGAACCATACAAATTCGTGACAAATCCACACCCATCGCCGCTTGGTCCTCCACCGCTGTGTGCACTTGTACTGTAGCCGTGTTGTACACGTACGCCAATCGGAATGTTGTGTCGTTTCATTGAGGAAGATTGGTGTACGGCGAAGATTGCATTCAGGGCTGTCGATTGGTTTGGAGCCAGAACTTGAGAGGCTGAGGTGCCCCAAAAGTTGCCCTGAAATTTACGGGCTGAGAGCTAACCTAGCACTTGAAATCAGGGCTACCAGCTTTTTTGCACTTTCGCGAAGGAAAAACCTACATTTTTTCGGAGCCCGATGCTAATCACATCAAGAAATACGTTAAGTAGCCGGCTTGCGCTATATACTATTTTCCGAAAAGTGGGGGAAGTGGCTGGGAGGAGGTGGGGGAACAGGTGAGGGAATGGGAGGGAGGGATGTGTTAGTATGGGAGAAAAAGGGCTAGCCGAGGGATCTGCACTTGAAATCCGGGTTAGACCCACAACCAGCACTTTACGGGGACGGGCCGCCCTCAAAGCCAACCCTTAAAATTTGGAAGCTGGCCCGAACCCAGCCCTTAATGTTCAGGGCATTAAGGGCATTTGCCCTTGAATCGTCAGCCCTGATTGCTTTCCTTGATTTCATCCTCTCCTCGTCACACCCGTTCGTTTCATCGTTGTGTGTTCCTTCTAGACAACGATGAAACGGTGTCTTGTTCGGGTCTCTCGATGAATGCTCCTCTGTGTTCACGAAGCCTCACTTGGCCGTGACGCACCGTGACAAATCCTCCACATTAGAAACTCAACCCCTCAACACTCGTCTTTCTATCAAATGACATATCTTGCTGCTCGATTTGTTCAAGAACGGAAGCTGGTGAGGTGACTGGTGGCCGTTACATCTAGAAGAGGACCCACTGTTCACTGTTTCGCTCCGAGCGACATGTCAGTCCACGACAACTTCCCCTCCCCTTCCCCTGTGTCTTGCCTTCAGTCCAGACTCCAGTCAGTCCTGAAGACCAAGAATTCTGTGTGTTGTTTGTGTTGTGACATGACAACCACACATCCCTCCTGCCAAGCTGCCAGCTAGCCCACCCTTCCCACATCCGCCAATGTCCCCCACCACCTCCAACGCAGCGTGGCGTGGAGGAACCTCATAGCATAGCCTCCCCATCAAATCCCATTTCCTAACGATCTCTTAGGACACGCCGGAGTTGTCCTTAGCCGCATATTCCGCCGCACATTCCGCCGCGCCATCCGGATGAATCTCACTTAGCTGACAGAACCGCCCCGGCGGCCTCATAATGACTGTGCGGCTGCCGCCGCGCCGCCGCGTGGAATCCCCACGCGGGCCGGCGGCGACATTCGCGGCATCACTCATGGCGTCGCCCCTTCTCCTCCTCCTCGTGTCCGTCGCCCTTCTGCCTTCCCCCGCGCATTGCCAATACTCGACAATAGGCCTCCCGGTAGCGATAGTAGCCGGCGGCGTGTACGATCCTCTCTCAGGCGACACGACGTCCCAGGTATGGGAGATTAATCTCCGTACGCGTCGCGAGATAGGCTATTCCAGCAAACCCGACAGCAACGCTAACGCGCAGCTCACTTCCTGTGGCGTCGCGACCGACGGCACGGCCTATATATCTTCAGGCGGCTCGTACCTAAACGTGATTAACTACACACTAGACGGCGCGGTGCCGCTACCGCCCGTGGCTCTTCCAGGCGGGTTCTCAGGAACGGTTGTTGCGCTTGGGGGACCTTCCGAGAATCTTCTGGTTGTAGCGGACGGATCGGAAACAGCTGCGGGTGCGGTTTCAGTAAACCGCGCGACGGGCTCGTCGCGCCAGCTCGTCGGACCGGGTTACCAGTGTCTTTCCGCTTCGTTCTGCTCTTCGCCAGCCGCCTCCCCGTCGGATTTCCTCGTTCTGACCTGCCACGTCACAGCTGACGATTCTGACGTGGTGGTGATTGTGCCGATAGATCCGACGACAGGAAATTTCCAAGCCAGCTCGGCGATTAAGATGTTCTCCGCGTCGTACGCGGCGCGACAGGCCGTCTGTTCCCCCGGCGGCGGCTTCTTAGCCGTCCTCCGGTACGACACGAACATTCTCTACACGTACGCGCTTCCGCTCGCGGGAACCACGCTCCCGCCGCCGCTATCGACGACGGTGCTGACGACAGGCACGCCCGGATCGCTTGGAGTGGATCCACAGAATAAAAACTTGCTGGTTACGAGCGCCGCGAACTACGGCGGCACGTCTACGCTTATGGCGTCTCGAGGCGCAACCTTTTTGGGGACTATGGACGCGATTGGCTACACGGAGGCGGGGGGGTGCGCCTCTGCGGCGTACTTAGGCTCCTTTCAATACTCCACCGCCGCATACGATGGCGGGGTGCTCGCGGTGTATCCCAGCAGCCCAGCGCTGGCGCTACTCGCGCTTCCCGAAGGCGTGTACGCGATGGCGCTCGCAGCGGACGGCGCGATTGAGACCGACACGACGGGATTTGTGCCGCTTGGGGGCACCGAGTCGGGTTCCAGCTTTTTCTCCAGCGCGGTTTGCGTTCAGAAATTCGTCGCGAATCTCCCGCCGCCGTCGCCGCCGCCGCCGTCCCCGCCTCCCCCCAGGCCTCCCCCACCGCGCCCTCCTCCGTCCCCGCCGCCGCCGCCTAATCCGCCCAGCCCGCCGAAGCCGCCGCCTCCGTCTCCCCCGCCAAAGCCGCCGCCAAGCCCGCCTCCTCCGCCGAAGCCGCCTTCCCCGCCGCCACCGCCCAAGCCGCCCAGTCCGCCGCCTAAACCGCCTTCCCCGCCGCCGCCATCTCCGCCGCCGAAGCCGCCGCCAAGTCCGCCCAAACCACCTCCCCCGCGGCCCCCCCCTCCGCCTAGTCCCCCGTCTCCCCCTGCCACCACTGGAATGGTCACAGATCAATCCGCCACCACCGTCACCACCACCACTTCTTCCCCGCCCCCTCCGCTCGTCTCTTCCCCGCCCCCAGCTGTCGCGTCACCCCCTCCGCTCGTCTCTTCCCCGCCTCCAGCTGTCGCGTCGCCCCCTCCGCTCGTCGCTTCCCCGCCTCCACTTGTCGCGTCGCCCCCTCCGCTCGTCGCTTCCCCGCCTCCACTTGTCGCGTCGCCCCCTCCGCTCGTCGCTTCCCCGCCTCCACTTGTCGCGTCGCCCCCTCCGCTCGTCGCTTCCCCGCCTCCACTTGTCGCGTCGCCCCCTCCGCTCGTCGCTTCCCCGCCTCCACTTGTCGCGTCGCCCCCTCCGGTCGTCGCATCCCCGCCTCCACTCGTCGCGTCGCCCCCTCCGCTCGTCGCTTCCCCTCCTCCACTCGTCGCTTCCCCCCCTCCGCTCGTCGCTTCCCCGCCTCCACTTGTTGCGTCGCCCCCTCTGCGCGTCGCTTCCCCGCCTCCACTTGTCGCGTCTCCCCCTCCGCTGGTATCCTCCCCTCCCCCACCCAACCCTCCGCTCCCTCCATCTCCGCCTCCTCCCCCAAGTCCTCCTCCCCCGTCTCCCCCTCCCTCACCACCACCCACCCCGCTTCTTCCCCTTCCCCTTCTCAGCTCTCCGCCTCCCCCTGTGCATTCTCCGCCACCCCCTGTGGATTCCCCCCCTCCCCCGTTGCCCCCGCTTGGGCTAGCGGTCTCTAGCACTCTCTCCCCGCCTCCGCCAGTAGTCGAATTCGTTATAAGCAGCCCGCCTCCTCCTGCTCAATCCGATGCAAGCAGGACGCATCCTCCAACCGCTGATCTCGTTATAAGCAGCCCGCCTCCACCTGCTGCCGTAACCGTCGTGTATAGCCCGCCTCCACCTGTCGCTGTACCCGTTATAACAAGCCCACCTCCTCCTGTCGCTGTACCCGTTATAATAAGCCCGCCTCCACCAGTCGCAGCATCCGTTACAAACAGCCCGCCTCCACCAGCCGTCGTTCCCGTTACAGCCAGCCCGCCGCCACCCGTCCTCCCTTCCGCGTCCGGCGTTCTCTCCCCGCCAGGCGCTAAAGAAGCTTCCGCGGACCTTTCCGTTGGAGCCGACCCAGATCCTTCCGCTACTGCCCGTTCGCCACCGCCGCCCGCAGTTGACGCCTCTCCGCCCCCCCCCAGTCCGCCTCCCCCGCGCCCACCTCCCCCTAAGAAAGCCCCTGTTAAGAAGCCCAAGAAAAAGCCGCCCAAGAAGAAAAAGTCAATGTCCAAGAGTGGGAACGGAGGTGGAGGGGCGACCGCATCCTCGCTATCAGCTGATGTGTTTGGCGCATCAGGTACGGGTGACTGACGGCACTGGGTGCGTCCCTTGTTGTTTTTTTTTACCGAACGCAAACACGTAGCATTTTAGTTCACATATACTCAGAACGCGTTCATTGTCTTTCCCGCCGTCAGCACATCTTCCGCGCCCCCCCATTGCTTCCCACGTGTAAAAAGTGTACTTTTAAGACGTCTCAAAAATACACTTTTTACACGTGGCATCTCCCGTGGCCCCCCATTGCTTCCCTCTTCCTCCATTGGCACCTCTCTTCCACAATTCCTATCCTCATCTCCCCCTGCCCACCCCTCCTTCGATCAAAGACTCTGCTCTTTGACCCGCACACTTTGAATCTCTTCATTTGCCCCCTTTCGAACCTATCCCTTCTGATCCTCGTCGTCTCGTCCCCTTTTGCCCCTTCGTTCCATGTACGGTAAATCCCCAGGCGCCGCGACGTGCAAGCTAGGCGTGCGGCAGAAGTGCCTGACGCGGCTCGTGTGCCAAGACGCGCTGGACGTGGGAGGGTGCTCGTGCCTTCGCGAGGCTGGTTTGCCGTCGTGCACGAGTGAGTAAATATTCTCTCGCGTTTCGCCAATATTCGTGCTCTCGCCAACCAACCAGTGTGAATGTTCTGTCGCCTTTGTGTGTTCCCTCGCCAATGTTTCGCACTTCAACGTAATAGCTGATTTGGGATTGTCATGACCATTATTGCTTCTATATTTTATTCACACATATGACTCTATCACAGCATGTTCCAATGTTGATGATGCCGATTGTTGCAGTCTTCCAGTTCTCATCTTCCGTTGCAGTCTTCCATCAAACTCTTCAACTTCCAGTTCTTCTTCACTCCCTGTGGCTACCTGCTGCTTCCTCCTGATCCCTGCTCCTCCCTCCTGATCCCTCCTCCTTCCTTACCCCATTCCAGTCACCCGCAAGTGCATGGTGCCAGCAGCATGCCCCGTGCTAGCGCTCTGCACAGCTCCTGCTGATGGCTCGTCCCCGACCTGCTCATTGTCGCGTTGACTTTTGAGTCAAACAAGGAACTAATTTTCCTGCTCCCTGCATCTCCATCCCTCCATCCCAGTCACCCGCAAGTGCATGGTGCCAGCAGCATGCCCCGTGGAAGCGCTCTGCACAGCTCCCGCTGACGGCTCGGCCTCGACCTGCTCCTGTCCGGCGGGCTTTGCGCCACTCAAGGCAGCAGCAGAGGACTCTGTGTTTGACTTCTGCGCTCGCACCCGCTGCAGCAGCTCGCTTGCGTTCATTGGATTCGACTGTGGTACGCATCTGGCTGTGCTTGCAGTTTCCTTCAAGTCCTGCCCATATTTCCTCTAATTTCTATCCCATGCTCCTCAAGTGTTGTTAAAAGCTCCTCGTGGTATTCTTCATAACATCCCATGCCCCTCTATGCGCTCTTCTGCTACCCTCCCAGTGACGTTCCATGGTCCTCCCTTAGCTGTTCCGAGCTACTCTCAATGTTGTTGCATGCTCCTCTCTGTTCTGTGTTCTCCAACTGCTGTCAATGCAGGGCCTCCAAGCTCCGCGGTTTGAAGCAGAGCCACCCACTGGGGATTTGTCTGATTTGCAGCATTTGACATCGTTTTGTTCCTGGACCTAAACAGCTTCTAGCCATGCAGTCTTGGTTTAGCGAATAGTGTTTGTTGGGGATGGGGAGTTCAACTTGTGTACCATAGGCTTACCGTATTGCGGCTGCACAGTGGGGATTGGTGTTTGTGGGGCTGCTTTTAATAATCCAGTGAAACCTCTCTCGGATGTGTGGTGTGGTACCAGTAGACCTGTGTTTTATGGCTAAGGTCGTGTTCACTGGGTATCAAGTTGTATGCAACCGCATTCCACAGTGATACAAGAGCCACAAAGCATGTCCTAGATAACTGCGATTGGACCACACCATTTACCGTAATCACCCGGACATACCACCCGCCGAAATAGAGCACCCCCCGGGTGGCTTGTGCGGGGGGGGTGCTATAGCGGACCTCGTTTCTACTATACCCCCCTTTTGGGCCGATCCGGTATAAGACCCGGGGGGGGGGGGGGGGGGGTGTTATGTACGGGAAAATTTGTTGTTTTCGCCTAAATTTTGCTCAGGGACGTGACCGCACCAGCGAGGCTGCTAAGCCTGTTGCGGGACTCCCGCCTCTGTGATTGCATGCATCCTCGTCGAGCGACGGGGGGTGTGTTTTCGACCAATCAGGGCATGACAGAGGGCCTGTTGGAGCTTGCAATGTGGCAGCTTCCACTCGAGGCTAAGGGCGTGTGCACTAGGGGTTCGAACTTCTGTCTAAGTTCGAACTTTTAGCGAGGTTCTACTCGGTACGATACTAATAAGAGACGTTTTGCCACGGTGCAACGCGATGAATGTTCGAACTTTGACAAATTTCGCCCAAAGTGCACACGCCCTAACGTTATCGCCTCATCCTCGGTTTTGCGCACCCAACCAACAATCTACCACCGCAGCAAGCATGTACATTTTGTTCCCAACCGTTTCTGCTTTTAAAAAAATATACATTATATAAACACCCGGGTGTTATGTAGCTTTTTCCCATGACAAGACCCCCCCCCCCTGTTTTGGCGGAAGTTATCATAGCACCCTAGGGTGGTATGTCCGGGTGATTACGGACAAGACCACACCATTGCGATGATAACATGCTTATTGGGTGTATCATCGAAAAATAAGCAAAATCATCACTTGAGTGGTCGCATCATGTACCAGGTTAACTGATGTTGCAACTGGTTTGGCAATATTTTCACAACTGCCCAACAGCTAACATTGTTTTCATCAATTACTTTACCAGTACAACAGAATGGAGCCTTAGGCAAAGGTTACCACAATCATTGCAGCAGCAGCCGCAAGGTTCTATCGACAAATTGAATGGTTCTCACTGCATTGTGGCAGCAAGAACGTTCATGAGAAAAACACAATTCAAAACATAGACAAAACCCAGAACCAGCGGAACAAACACTTGCTCTGGATGTTTTCTGGAGATTAGAGCCAGCGTTTGTGGTCTGGGCTGTCTAATGGGATTGTACTGCGGCTGAAGGGGTAAGGCTGGAGCGGGTGCACTCTGCACGTCTGGGGTGTCAAATGGCCAGCGAAACAGGTCTCTTAAACATATGCCCAGAACGTCTAGCAGTGTCGAGTCATCCCTGGAACGCGATAGACTGCTGTGCAGAGGACCCCAGCAATCTGCTCTGTCGAAGCTGGGCGAGTGGGAGTGGTAGTGGATCCATACTGTTGCGGCGGTAAGATCTGCAACAAGTAGCTAAGTAAGAAATGAGTAGGTTCACACAGTGCTGAAGCACAGGATCTATGAGCAGGTTCATGAAATGGGAAGCACACAATCCAGTGAAATGCTTACCTGGATGAGAAGCGAACAAATCCTTCTCAGCGTACATAATGGACTCCAAAACCTGTTGGCGGAGACAATAATACATGTTGAGGTTAGTCATCTGAGCCTCAAACGACAAGCATAATCAGCAGATCAAACATTATATTATGGTACTCACCAATGGCATTTCTCTTTCAAATATCCAGCTCCGGATGACAGGGGGTGCGAGGAATGAATGAGACCCGCTAACATGACAGTGAAGATGTAAGGAATATTGGACTTCGTCTTCGGCTTTTTTTCGTACTTTCCACTCCCCTACGACTTCGTCGCGGAAGAGCTTCGATGACCATCCATCTAGCTGAACAAGGAAAAAAAAGGGGTAAGATTCTAATTCGGCATTTGCGAATAAAGAAGAAGGGGGAAGCGGGGGGGAGAGGGGGAAGGGGGGAAGGGAGAAAGTGGTGCAGAGGGGGTGGATGTGGGGAGGGGGAGTGCAGTTGCACACCTGTTTGACGTCAACGGCTGAACTAATCGTCAAAAATAGGTCAGCCGTCATGTCGTCATGTGTCACTGTATATACACGAGGTAAGAGACCAGCGGCTTCTGACACGGCTAGTGCCGATGTGCTCTCTGTCATGTCCGAAATGTGAAGCCTCGAGGGACAGAATTTCGCAGGCTCGCCAAGTCCCGAGACCTGAAACGAGTAAGGATCCATTCACAATAACTCTCAAGTGCTTTGTCGAGACAACAGGCGAGATATCAACAGCGGGGCAAGGGCTGGAGTGCTGACCACTGTAGGTTGCAGGTGTTTTCGATGATCCACGCATTGGCGAGAGTTGTGAGGGTAACTGTACTCAAGAGGTGAGAACCTAAATGATGTCTCTGCACGTCGGCGACACCTGCGTTGAGAATCTCCTGGGAACCTCTTCTGGTTGAGTCTGCAACGTAGTCCTGCATGGGAAAGGCCTGTTGACATTTGAACTATAGATTCGAAACTGCAGAATACTAGATGGCTGCTGCTGCTCGTAAGTGCGCCGCCGCTTTCAGAGTAACGCGTACTAGCTACTTATCGATTTTTAGTCAAAAGCACTCAGATAGGGAGCGGTTGAGTGAGAACTCGGAAACACGCAAGCAGATCTCACTCAACAATTCCGCTATCCGAGGCTCACACTAACCATCTATTACAGTCACCAGAATCGTAGCCAACAAATGACGCGCTCCTGCTTGAAGGGAAACCCAAGCCAAGTCCTCACAGACTAAGGAATTGAACCGAACCGCAGGACTGTGGCAGGGATGTGTGAGATTACCAAGCAGACCTGGGACAGGACTGGTCACAAGAGGCGGATTGAGTGGAGGAGCGAATGGAGGGGGTGAGTGTGCGAGAGGATGCTGGGGGGTGTGTTGTGGCCCGTGGGGGAGGGAAAGGAAAGGAAGCAACAATGGCGAAGGCGCATTGATCGATAGGGGCCGCTCTGCTGGCCTTGGAGCTGGTACATCGCACATGGGACGGATGGGAGGGAGATGTGCCGTGATGGAGTTGCGACGTGGCTAATTCTTCCGTAGCCAGTCATTCAGGAACAGATATGGGTAGGATCCGCCACGTAAGCGATTCTCAGCCTTGTTTGGGCTATTTTACGGGCTGGTTTGATTTGTTCAGTTGGGGGAGGATTCGTGTGAGGGTGGTTACAGAAACAGGCGAGAAACTCGCCACAAGTGTGCGAAATTCTGTACCAGCTGTCGGAGACCTCGAGGGGCTTCTGATTTGAGGTTCTGGGATTGGTTGGATTTGAATATCCCGATGTGGTGGGTGCAACGAACTTCGTACAATATCGATGGTTTCGCGGACCTGGGGTCGTAAGTGCCAGTACTATCGCAAACACCGGGATCCATTTGCCATTTAGAAACCAGTATTGAAAACTGCCAGTTCTGTTCCTAGTTTTCTGTAGAGTCGTTTGTGGGGTTCAAGAAAGCAGGATGTGTAGAGCAGAGGTGATCAAAACATGAGAGTGAAAAACACGTGTTGTGCTATGGTCAGACCATGCCGCCATGGCTATTCCAAGTCGACGAGGGCCCCAGTTTGAGCCACACGTCCTTGCGTTAGTCAGCACGGCACAAGCGTTTCTTGCCAACAAGGTGTCGAGGTGGCTGTGTGTAGCACCCAAGACGACCATCTCCGTGACAGGGATCTCTCGATCTCTTTCTGGCTTGAGGAGGTTCTAAAGAAGCTGCTAACCGCTGATGCGCAATATTATATCGGCGTACTCGAGCTTTGCTGACAACGTTCGCCGCTTTACGAAACGAAGACGCTTCCACTGCGGCATGGCTTTTGCGATTGCACAGAAGCTTGTCACTCTGCCTAACAGCTTCTCCGCGGCTCTGTCCAGGTCTCGGTCAGAACCCTTCCATCAAAACTGCTCTCCGTCTCGTGTCTACACTCACAGTCTCATAATCAGATGTTCAGCCAACGAATCCTCGACGTCATCAGGTAATCCGCAATCCGAACATTTGGTGTCGGACATTTTCAGCCACCATTCCCGTGTTTGCAATCGCATTTCACTCAATCACACTCTCCACTCTCCCCTCTCCACGTGCAGAAGGCAGCAACGAGTCAGACCGCAGCAACCTAACAAAGAGCTTTCCTGCCAGCAACTCAGGTTCTCAGGACTCACGATGCCCACAAGACTTGGAAGATTCACGAAATCCGCGTAACTTTCCAGGAGCGGAAGCTGGGTCTGTTGCTGATGCTAAGCAGGATAACTCACGTGCGATTCCCCGAAGGTTCTTACTCGGTGGAGCCACATTAGCCGGAGCGGGGATTCTTCTAGAAGGTGGAGGCGACAGAGCGGGCCGGCCGTTACGCAGTAACACAGGCCGGCGATGGTCTATCCAGGGTTCGGGTAACGCGACTCCCTTACCGTTACCGTTACAGCCAGATGTTGACTCTCTCCCCGGGGAGTTGAGCAGCCTGCTAGACGACAAACAAGGCCTGTGGGTGTCTGAATCGGGGTCTGCCGCCCGGCTCGTTCCTGTTCACGAGGGGTTGATTGCGGAGAAGAGATTCAGCGAATTTGGACCGTACGATGTGGAGAATCTGTACCATCAGGAGCACACGTGTGCATCCTGCTTCCCGGACTGTGCAGCAGGCGGCTGCTTGCTGCGGATAACGGTGACGTACCCAGCGAGGATGCGACACACGTCATGGACGCCTCAATACTCGTTACAGGTCGGTCAACCGTTACCCTATAACCGCGCTCCCTCTTTATCCATACTATGGCTGTGCTCCTCGTCCCCCTCCACTCTTAACTTAGGCTGACCACCTAATCCCTTTGTCAACCCCTTTCCCGGCTCTGCCGTCCCCAATCCTGTGCCTCATGCCTCTCGCACACTCTTGGCCACCTTTCTCTGCTGCTGCCTTCACTGCTGTCTTGCTTCTCTCCCACAGGAGGACAAGTTCCCGCTGGCCGTGTTCAGCAGCGGGTTCCTGCTGGACTCAGCTCAGTACCGCAGCTACGCCCACCACCTCGCCAGCTGGGGCTTTGCTGTAGTCACCTACAATAAGGTACGGTACGGAGCCGGGTCTTAATAAGAGGATGCCCATGCATGCAGCACACTCACTTGATGCCTATTGTTGCACTCACTTATACAATAGGTACATTTATCAGCGTGGCATCTGCTGCTTCATGCGGTACCTATTGTTGCCACCGCCCTTGAAGGACTGACCAACCAACCAACTAACGGTTTGACTGACCGACTGACGGACACCCCCTGTGACGTGTTGCATGCATGGCAGGTGGAGGGGCTGATGGGGCCTCTGGACGACATCATCTGTGCGCGGTTCATCACAGAGCTCATCAACTGGGCTGGCACCAGGTGAGTTTGCTCATGCCATCATCATGCGTTACGATTTTTTTTTGTGTGATGCCATGCTGCCGCAGCAGCCAGGCTGTGTGTGTGTTTTTTAAACCAATGGCCAGGACTCTCACTTTTGAGAGTTTTCAAAAGTGCGGCTGCTGTGTCTATTGCGTCAACTCAAGAGTCACTACGTTCTGAGGCGACTCAAAGTTAGTTTCTCCCACCGCTTTTGGCCAAGGCCCAAAAACTCTCTCTTGGTGCAGCTGCTGTGATCCTCATGGCGTCTCCTCCGGTTGCTTCCCTCCCCCATCCTTCCCCTCTGCAGCCACTTGCTTCGCAGGATAGCGGACAACACCCGCGTCTACCTCTGCGGCCACTCCAGAGGGGGTACGACTGCCCTCTTCCTGAGTGAATGCCTTTGCTTTGCTGTGTACTCCTGTGTGATTCCGTTTCACGCATGCATCAACTTGGTTTCAGACCCATGTATGGCTTCTCGTTTCTTGGTTTGCAATTCTCACATGATCGCCGTCCCACCTGTACTTGTGTGCAGCCAAGGTGAGCGTGCTGGCAGCAGCCATGGACCCTCGAGTGCTCTCCCTCGGCCTTGTCGACCCTGTGGATAACACAAGTGAGTTTCCAGAACACACCCGCGAAACACATGTGCTTGGTCTGCATCTCATCATGATTAGTGAGGTGAAACATGTGTTTGAGAATGAAACACGTGAAAAAGGGCAGCTCACACACAATGAAACATGTGTTCGAGGGCCCCCTTCCGCCTATAGCCCCCTTCCACCTCTAGCTCCCTTCCGCCTATAGCCCCCTTCCGCCAATAGCCCCCTTCCGCCTATAGCCCCCTTCCGCCTATAGCCCCCTTCCGCCTATAGCCCCCTTCCGCCTATAGCCCCCTTCCGCCTATAGCCCCCTTCCGCCTATAGCCCCCTTCCGCTTATTGCCCCCTTCCGCCTATAGCCCCCTTCCGCCGATAGCCCCCTTCCTCATGCTTTAAGCGGAGGACATTAGGATGCTCGGCATGCCTAGCAAAGGGCAGCACACACAGAATGAAACATGTGTACATTACATCAGCTGGAGCACATCACACACACACACACACACACACACACACACACACACACACACACACACACACACACACACATACACACACACACACACACACACACACACCACCACCCTTTCTACCTTCCACCACAAACGCCAGAAGCAGTAGCAGTAAGTATGGAGCACTTGTTTCCTCCAGAAACACTCACCCTCCCCCCCTTGCTGTTTTTCATCCGTGGCACCAGCGCCATGACCCCCCCTCCTCATGCTCTATCTCTCCCTGTCATCTCCCTTTTCCCACACCCCCTGTTAACCAACCTCCCGGAAGTCCACACACCGCTAGCCCCCACGTACCCCCCAGCATTAAAAGCCTCGCATGCAGGCACCAGTGCCATCGAGCACCTTTCCCATCTCCTCCCTACCCCTACCCCTACCCTTTCCCCCTCTTCCCCACTCCCCCCTGCAGTCTACGCGCCTCTGGCCCCCGGGGTATCCCTCAGCCGTAGCAGCCATGCATGCAGGCACCAGTGCTATCGAGTACCTGCTCGCCCAACCCCTGTCCCCCTTTCCCTCCCCCCGCCTCTCTCCCCCACTCCCCCCCTGCAGTCTATGCGCCTCTGGCCCCCGGGTACCCTTCAGCAGTGGCAGCTATGAGGGCAGGCAACAGCGCCATAGAGCACCTCCTGGCCGATGCCAGCCCCGCCAACCAGGGACTCGCCGTCTCCCTCCCCACACTCGTTGTCGGCGGCGGCTACCCCGGCGACTGCGCCCCTGCGGCCTCCAACTACCGCTGGTTCTTTAAAGAGGCTGGCAACCCCAGCTGGGAGGTTGTGCTGCGAGATGCGGGGCATTTCCAGTTTTTGGACTCGCCGCCGGTGCTGCAGGCGGCTGTGTGTGGGCTGGGGCCGGCGAAGGATGAGGATGTGAGGCGGGCCACCAAGGCGTGTATTGCCGCTTGGGGGCATGCAACTGTGCCCCGACAGAGGGGAAAGGCGGTGGGTGGGGGACGTGGGAGAGGGGAGGTGCCGCAGCAGGGAGGTGGAGATGGGGGAGTGGGAGGGGGTGAGGAGGGTTGCATCAGCATTGGCGGGAGGTGCGGTGGCAGTGGCAGCAATGGGACCAGGGGGACCAGCAGTGATGTGGACGCTGCTGCAGCTGATAGTTGGAGTGCGGGTGCAGCTAGGGAGAAGGGGCCGGCACAGGCTCCTGCCCCTGCTTTGACTCCGTTGACTCCGTTGACTGCAGGGGACAACTTGGAGGCCCCTGTGTCAGATAGGAAGGATGAGCTGGAGGCCATGATGGTTTCAGTTGCTGCTGAGCTGGCAGCGCTTGGAGGGACCAAGTTCACTTCAAGGCTGAAACTATGACTGCTGTAGAGAGCTCGTGTAGTGGTAGTTCGCCTGTAGCAAATGTATGTACCGCTGGTATTTTGTCAGCTATGTGTCAGTGTGCTTATATCATCTTGGTGCTTCTACACGAAATTAGAACAAAATCATAGCACCATCACGTTTTCGTTACTGTACATTGAAGCAGGCACTGCATACGGAACTGGCTTCGATAACATCGAGGATCCCAGATTCTGGGTGCTGCCTTTGGCGCTGATTATGGACGGCATCGCGGGTCCTCCCAATACTGACTCTTCTCTACCGTGTCGGTCGCCTCATTTTCAGAAGTTCCATCATTTACCGTCAGCCTTGCTGACGATCGTCCATGGCCGTCCGATCATGACACGGCACAGCAAAAGTAGTTCCTAGTCGTGACCGTGCAGGGGATGCTGCTCACCTTGATTAGTTGAAAGTCTTCCGTTTGCAGGAAGTTACCGTGTTTGTTAGTCTTCCTAAGGATGGTATCCTCTTGTGATCCACCAATCAGATGCTTCCGTTCGGAGAGACTACAAGGGCTTCTAATAAACTACGCAAGTTACGGGAGCCATGAGACCATGTTTTAGGTGCCTGCGTGTCGAATTCTCGCTGACTCCTCTCACCACGTGCTGCAATAGCCGTCACTGAATCTGTGTCCCTTGAATGTGCCATTAGCGGACATAGCAAGAAGCTACTGCGATTTTGATTAGCCAATCCTTTGTCGATATGAGTCATCCTAATCAGGCTCAATGGGGCTGACTAAGCACTCTCTCCGTGCGTACATCGTCATCCATCATAGCCATCCTCACAAACGTTACTCCAGTATGAGTCACTGCAATTCTTACTAGCGAATCCCCGGTCCAGATGAGTCCTCTCCGGTTTAGATGAGTCACTGCGATTTCAACTAACGAATCCCGTCAAGATGAGCCACTGCTGGTGCAAGTGACTTTTGAGTCGACTCAAAAGTCACCTCGATTTCAACTAACGAATCCCGTCAAGATGAGCCACTGCTGGTGCAAGTGCGAGGCGGGAGCGGGTCAGTGCGGGCCAAAGGTGCCAAAGCTCAAGACGCTCTTCAACGCGCACAAAAACTTAGACGACTCGTCTCTTCGCCGCGGCGACTGGGAGGCCGAACTCCTCGTCATGTGGGAGGTGCGTTACAAGTCCTGAGGAGTGCGTTACAAGTCGTGAGAAGTACGTTTCAAGTCGTGAGAAGTGCGTTACAAGTCGTAAGGAGTGGCTTACAAGGCGTAAAAAGTGCATTACAAGTCATGGCAGGAGCGTTACAAGGCGTGAGAGCTCCGTTACTAGCTATGTGAGGTGCGCTACATGTCGTGGAAGGTACATCACAGGTCACGGGAGGATACATCACAAGTCACGGGAGATGCGTTACAAGTCATGGGAAGGGCGTTTCAAGTCATGAGAGGCAGGAGGAAGCGTGTACTCAGGGAACATGAGGGAAGGGGACAAGCATCCATGGACAATGCAACCATTCACGAACGATTCTCTCTGTTGTTGCCTGTCAATTTCGTCCTCTTGCTGCTTCACTGACCTCCTACATCCTTCATTCCTACCCTTTCCCCTTCTCGTTTCCTGTGTTCCTACCAACCCCTTCTCTCTCTTTTTGCTCTCGCTCTCTTCCTGTGTTGGCTTTCTGCTCTCTGTGTGATTCAGGAAATAGGAGAGGATAAGCTGATTCGCTCAGAAGACCTGCGATTGGCCGTTGCAGATGCTGTGGATAAGGCTTACGAGAAGGTGATGACGTGGAATGTTGGTGTGCTGTGATAGTTATAGTAGCCCATGCTTTGGGACGATTCCCGAGAAGCGCTGCAGTTGAGGTGGCTTTGTGTGCTTCTGGAGTGAGCCAGCTAAAGAAGCGCTATAAAAACAGAATGTGGGTGTCAGAGATCGTAGGTATTGTGTTCACAGTGTCAATCCCTGCTGTCTCTTGCCATGCCATGCCATGCCATGCCATGCCACGCCATGCCACGCCATGCCATGAGATGCAAAACCTTCTCTTCTCTCTCCCATCACAGGCAGTGCGAGAGGCAGTGCAGCAGCGTACAGAGCTGGAGGAGGGCGTGAGGGAAGCGGAGCTGCAGCTGTACGACCTGCTGTGGCCCGATGCAGAGTGCCTGTTCCCACTCCCATTCCCTTCAATCACCTTCCCCCTCTCTTCTCTCTCCCATCACAGGCTGTGCGAGAGGCAGTGCAGCAGCGTACAGAACTGGAGGAGGGCGTGAGGGAAGCGGAGCAGCAACTGTACGACCTGCTGGGGCCCGATGCAGAGTGCCTCGTGGCGCCCCATTCTCTCCCGCTGCAAGAGCGGCTGGACGTCAACCTCTCCCATCTGCACCAGCTGGAATCGGTGAGTGCTGCTACATTCCTGCATGCACCGAACATGCATACTTGGCCCGATGCAGAGTGTCTGGTGGCTCCCCATTCTCTCCCGCTGCAAGAGCGGCTGGACGTTAACCCCTCCCACCCGCACCAGCTGGAATCGGTGAGTGCTTTGAGATGCCTCAGAACAGACCCACGCCCCCCCAGCCGATGCAGAGTGCCTCGTGGCTTCCCATGCCCTGCCGCTGCAAGAACAGCTGGACGTCAACCTCTCCCACCTGCACCAGCTAGAATCGGTGAGTGCTGCTACATTCCTGCATGCACCGAACATGCATACTTGGCCCGATGCAGAGTGTCTGGTGGCTCCCCACGCCTTGGCACTGCAAGAGAGGCTGGACGTCAACCTCTCCCACCTGCACCAGCCGGAATCCGTGAGTGGTGTTCTATGAGCATATATGGCCACCTATCCCCCATGCTCTCCTGCTGCAAGAGATGTTGGAAGTCAGCCCCTCCCACCCACCTGCACCTGGCTCTCCACTGCTGCTGCTTTTCGGTGCTGCTTCATGGCTGCATTGAAATCACTTTTGAGAATGAGAATTCTCAAAAGTGATTTCAACACTGCTGCTGCTTTTTGGTGCTGCTTCATGGCTGCATTGAAATCACTCTTGAGAATTCTCAAAAGTGATTTCAACACTGCTGCTGCTCAAAAACCGGTGCTGCTTCATGGCTGCATGCATCAAACACGCGTGCATGGATGTACGTGTGTGCATGGATGGATGTGCTTGCGTGCTTGAATGTATATGCATGCTTGGATGTGCATATGCATGTCTGCTAAGAGGGAAGCTGGATGTCTCTCCTGCCGTCCTTGTGCCACACCTCCCACTTTTCTCCCACTTTCGTCCCAATTTCGTCCCTCCTTCCTCCCACTTTCCTCGCCCTTTCCTCCCGTATTTCTCCGGTGCAGCAACGGGAGGAGGGGAAGGGGTGGCTGGCCGGGCTGGTGGTGCTGGCAGAGCTAGGGAGGAAACTCGTCTATTGCTCGTCGCTGCACCTGCCTCTTGAGAGTCTCAAAATTCCTGCCAATTTCCTCCCTCTGTGCTCCTTTCATTTCTCCGCTGCAGCAACGGGAGGAGGGGAAGGGGTGGCTGTGCGTGTTGCTGGTGCTGGCAGAGCTGAGGCGGCAACTCATCTGCCTGCGCTCGTCAATTTCCTTCTACTTTTCCCACATTCCCCCCATTTTCCTCCCTCCTTCCTCTCACTCTCCTCCCTCCTTCCACCTAATTTCTTCTCTCCTTCCTCCCGTATTCCTCGGGTGCAGCAACAGGAGGAGGGCAAGGGGTGGTTGGGAGGGCTGGTGGTGCTGGCGGAGCTCAGGAGGAAGTTCAACTTTTGAGGCGCCTCAAAAGTCGGAGGTCAGGAGGAAACACATCTGCCTGCGCTCCTCGCTGCACCTGCCCTTTGACACGCCTCCAAATTTCCTCCCTCGGCCCTCCCTCTACCCTCTACCTAACAGCAAAGGAGGGAGGGGAAAGGGTGGCTGGGGGGGCTGGTGGTGTTGGCGGAGCTCAGAAGGAAACTCATCCGCCTGCGTTCCTCGCTGCACCTGCCTTTTGAGACGCCTCAAAAGTCCTCTCTCTGGCTTTCTGCCCTCCCCCGGTCCTCGACTGCAGCAAAGGGAGGAGGGCAAGGGGTGGCTGGCTGGGCGGTCTAGTGGTGCTGGCAGAGCTGAGGAGTCGTCTCATCTGCACCCTGCCTTTTGAGGCGCCTCACGATCCCTCCCTGTTATCCCTCTTACCTCCTTCACTCTCCGGTGCAGCAAAGGGAGGAGGGCAAGGGGTGGCTGGGCGGTCTAGTGGTGTTGGCGGAGCTCAGGAGCCGTCTCATCTGCCTACCCTTAGGCACGCCTCAATAATCCCCTCTCTGCCCTCCCTCTGCCCTCTACCTAACAGCAACAGGGGGAGGGGAAGGGGTGGCTGGGCGGGCTAGTGGTGCTGGCGGAGCTAAGGAGCCATCTCATCTGCCTGCGCTCGTTACTGCACCTGCCTTATGACACGCCTCCGGATTCCTCACTCTGTCCTCTCTCTGTCCTCCCTCTGCCCTCGCCCTTTCTCTGGTGCAGCAAAGAGAGGAAGGGAAGGGCTGGCTGGGCGGTCTAGTGGTGCTGGCAGAGCTCAGGAGTCGTCTCATCTGCCTGCGCTCGTCACTGCACCTGCCACCGCCAGAGAGCGATGCTGACATGCAAGATGTGAGTCCCTTTGGGGCTGGATTGGGGAGGGTGGGTGTGCCTTTCGCTCGTCGTCACTGCGCTGCACCTGCCACTGCCAGAGAGTGATGCGATGCTGACATGCAAGATGTGAGTCCCTTGGGGGCTGGATTGGGGAGGGTGGGTGTGCCTTTCGCTCGTCGTCACTGCGCTGCACCTGCCACTGCCAAAGAGCGATGCGATGCTGACATGCAGGAAGTGAGTCCCTTGGGGTTGCAGTGGTGTGGGTGGGTGCTCTGTGGTCAAGGGGGTTGGATTGGGATCGATGCGAGATTCAGTTCCCTCGCTTCACCTGCCACCACCAGACCAGAGAGCGATGCTGACATGCAGGAAATGAGTCCCTTGGGGCTGGTGGATGGGTGGGAGTGGATGTGAGTGAAAGGTTCGGATTTGGAAAGGGCGGGCATGGATGTGAGTGTAAGGTTCGGATTTGGAAAGGGCGGGCGTGGATGTGAGTGTAACGGTTGGATTTGGAAAGGGCGGGCGTGGATGTGAGTGTAACGGTTGGATTTGGAAAGGGCGGGCGTGGATGTGAGTGTAACGGTTGGATTTGGAAAGGGCGGGCGTGGATGTGAGTGTAACGGTTGGATTTGGAAAGGGCGGGCGTGGATGTGAGTGTAACGGTTGGATTTGGAAAGGGCGGGCGTGGATGTGAGTGTAACGGTTGGATTTGGAAAGGGCGGGCGTGGATGTGAGTGTAACGGTTGGATTTGGAAAGGGCGGGCGTGGATGTGAGTGTAACGGTTGGATTTGGAAAGGGCGGGCGTGGATGTGAGTGTAACGGTTGGATTTGGAAAGGGCGGGCGTGGATGTGAGTGTAACGGTTGGATTTGGAAAGGGCGGGCGTGGATGTGAGTGTAACGGTTGGATTTGGAAAGGGCGGGCGTGGATGTGAGTGTAACGGTTGGATTTGGAAAGGGCGGGCGTGGATGTGAGTGTAACGGTTGGATTTGGAAAGGGCGGGCGTGGATGTGAGTGTAACGGTTGGATTTGGAAAGGGCGGGCGTGGATGTGAGTGTAACGGTTGGATTTGGAAAGGGCGGGCGTGGATGTGAGTGTAACGGTTGGATTTGGAAAGGGCGGGCGTGGATGTGAGTGTAACGGTTGGATTTGGAAAGGGCGGGCGTGGATGTGAGTGTAACGGTTGGATTTGGAAAGGGCGGGCGTGGATGTGAGTGTAACGGTTGGATTTGGAAAGGGCGGGCGTGGATGTGAGTGTAACGGTTGGATTTGGAAAGGGCGGGCGTGGATGTGAGTGTAACGGTTGGATTTGGAAAGGGCGGGCGTGGATGTGAGTGTAACGGTTGGATTTGGAAAGGGCGGGCGTGGATGTGAGTGTAACGGTTGGATTTGGAAAGGGCGGGCGTGGATGTGAGTGTAACGGTTGGATTTGGAAAGGGCGGGCGTGGATGTGAGTGTAACGGTTGGATTTGGAAAGGGCGGGCGTGGATGTGAGTGTAACGGTTGGATTTGGAAAGGGCGGGCGTGGATGTGAGTGTAACGGTTGGATTTGGAAAGGGCGGGCGTGGATGTGAGTGTAACGGTTGGATTTGGAAAGGGCGGGCGTGGATGTGAGTGTAACGGTTGGATTTGGAAAGGGCGGGCGTGGATGTGAGTGTAACGGTTGGATTTGGAAAGGGCGGGCGTGGATGTGAGTGTAACGGTTGGATTTGGAAAGGGCGGGCGTGGATGTGAGTGTAACGGTTGGATTTGGAAAGGGCGGGCGTGGATGTGAGTGTAACGGTTGGATTTGGAAAGGGCGGGCGTGGATGTGAGTGTAACGGTTGGATTTGGAAAGGGCGGGCGTGGATGTGAGTGTAACGGTTGGATTTGGAAAGGGCGGGCGTGGATGTGAGTGTAACGGTTGGATTTGGAAAGGGCGGGCGTGGATGTGAGTGTAACGGTTGGATTTGGAAAGGGCGGGCGTGGATGTGAGTGTAACGGTTGGATTTGGAAAGGGCGGGCGTGGATGTGAGTGTAACGGTTGGATTTGTGCCCTCAATAACAATCCTGTATCCTCACTTCCCCCTCCTTCCTCCCACTCCCCCCCCACCCCTGCCCCTTCTTTTCCCTCACGCTGATCAAACTCCAGATTCTAGAGAGCACAATGGAGGCCCTTGCCAACGCACAGTCCCGTTTCCCCATCCTCCCCTCCCTCTCCCTCCCTTGCCCACCTTTTCCCTTACCTCCTGCTGCCCCAAGTCCAGATTCTAGAGAGCACAATGGAAGCCCTTCCCAACGCACACTCACAGTTCCATTTCCTCCCCCTTTCCTCACTGCTTCCCCTTTCCCCTTTCCCCTTTCCCCTTTCCCCTTTCCCCTTTCCCCTTTCCCCTTTCCCCTTTCCCCTTTCCCCTTTCCCTCTCACCTCACTGTCCCAAGTCCAGATTCTAGAGAGCACAATGGAGGCCCTTCCCAACGCACACTCACAAGATCCGAATCAGAAGCTGCAGCCACACAAGGGGACAGAACTGCCGCACTCTATGCAGCAGAAGCAGCAGAAGAAGCAGAAGTGCCACCATACCATGGGTCTACAGCAGCAGCAGCGGCAGCAGCCCATGGGGGAGCGTTTAGAAGCCTTCTACAGCACGCTGTGCCAAATGGAAAGCGCATGGGCTCACCACCGCTCTGCACCCCCTGATACCTCTGCCTCGCCCCGGAGAAACGACAATGGGCAGAGTCTTTCCGTTGCTGGCTCCCAGGATCATTCTCCTCGCCCCCACTCCCCCCCTTCTTTCCGCCATCCCCTCTCCCCCTCCGTCCGCCCTCTCACTCACTCCTCCACGCCCCTCCTCGCCTCCTCTCACTCTGCTTCCAATCTCCACTCATCCACCCCCCCTCTCACACCACACTCTCACCACTCCAACCGAAGCAACAGGGACAGCAGCACTCGTGGCAGAGACAACAGTTGGCTGAGGGGCGGTGATGCTGAGGCAGGCAGTGGGTTGACATCGAGAAGGACGGTTCGGCAGAGTAACAGCGGCAGCAGCAGTAGTCACAGCAGCAACCGGGGCAGTGGCAGCAGCTATAGGGGTGGACGGGGGGAGTATAGGAGGGCAGGGAGAGACGGGGAGGCGGAAGTGCTGGTGTTATCAGGGGGAGGGAGTGGAGGGCGGAGTAGAGGAAGAGGAGGAGGAGGAGGAGGAGGAGGAGGAGGAGGAGGAGGAGGAGGAGGAGGAGGAGGAGGAGGAGGAGGAGGAGGAGGAGGAACGGCATCATCAGAGGATGGGCCACTTACACTTGAGTCACTGAGTGAGTGAGTGAGTGAGTGAGTGAGTGAGTGAGTGAGTGAGTTAGTGAATGAGTGAGTGAGTGAGTTTGTGTCAGAAAACAGAGGTGACTTCTGAGTCGACTCAAACTTACAGAGCGAGTGATACGGTGTCAAAAGTGTTCTTGCCTCATTTGACAGTGAGTGTCATGTGGCAAATGAGTCACTTCTGAGCAGAGGTAAGGGCCTCAAAAGTGTTCTTTCCTGGTTTGACTCGTTGCCACATAATGAACTTTTGTCCCCAACCTCATGTCTCCACCCTCGTGCCCCGACCCTCATTCCCCGTACTCCCCAACTTTCTCATCTCACACCTCCACCCTTCACACCTCCCCCCCTCACACCTCCACCCTTCACACCTCCCCCCCTCACACCTCCAACCTTCACACCTCCACCCCTCATCTTCCCCACGTTCTCAACTCTCCATTCCGCATCCAGGTCGCCGCATTCTTCGCAAGATGGACCTCTTTCAACAGCAGGCCGCTCGCTCCCTCTCCTTCCAAGCCTCCGGCCCAGCCTCGGCCCAACCTGCTCCAGACTCGGCCTCAGGCTCGGAAGCCAGCTTCCCAACCAGCAGAGGCACTTCAGGAGGGGCAGGAAGAGCAGGAGAGGGGCGAGATGGGATAGCAGAGAGGAGGAGGGGAGGAGGAGGTGGGTGGGGGGTTGGAGCAGGAGAAGTAAGAGAGAGGAAGGGTGGATGGGGGGATGAGGAGATGGAAGGGGGTTGGGAAGCGTCGTTTGAGCCTCCCAGCTTCGTCCGCCCACCCACCCCTCACACTGCCTCCATTCTCCAAGCCACTGTGGCCGCAGCTGCTTCCACTTCCTCTGCCACTCCCCCTCCTCCTCCTATTGCTCGTGCCGGTGGTGTTGGTACTGCTGGTGCTACTATTTTCGCTCGTGCTCGTTCTGCTGCAGCTGCTGGTGCTGCTGCTGATGCTGTTGTTGCCCTTCCTTCTCCTCTGTCTCCTCCCTCTCCCCGCTCCGCTCATTCCCCTCCTTCCCCTCCCTCACCCCCCACCTTCCACCCTCCTGCGTTCTTCCCTCCTCCATTAACCCTCTCATCGCCCACACCTGCACGACCCAGCTCCTTCACTCCCCCCTCACCTGCCTTTTCTGTGCCCTGGGCTGCAAAATCAGCTACCAAGACTGCTGCTGCTGGTAGATCAGCCATTGATGCTGCTGTTGCTAAACCTGGCCCTGCTGCTGCTCTCGTTACCCGCAGCTCAAGCTCCCACTCTGCTTCCATGTCACTGGCTGACGTTGTTGCGTTAACCCATCATGCCTCTAACGAGGATGACTCTTTAAGAGTGGGAGCAGGAGGTAATATGAGGCCAGGGCACAGTGAATGGGGCAGGGGAGGAGTGAGGGACGCTATGGGGGTACTGGGGAGTGGGGGAGGGGCAGCGAGGGGAGTGAGAAAGGGGGAAACAGCAAGTGCAGCAAGTGCAGCAGTGGCAGCAGCAAGGAAAGCGGCTGGGAGTGTGTCTGCTGCTGCGGTTGCTGCTGCTGCCAGTGCTCGTTTCGACGCTGCTGCTGCCATTGCTGCGGGTGCTCCTGGTGCCGTGATCCCTCCTAGACCTGATTCTGCTGCTGCTCTTGTTGCTGCTGCCTCCTGTGCTGCAGTTACTGCTGATAAGGCTGGTGCTGCTGTTGCTGCCGCTGCTACTGGTGCCAGTGTAAGGGGTGGTAGCAGCAGCAGCAGAGCAGCCAGAGTCTCAGCAGCAGCACCACCAGCACCAGCGGGAGGGGCGGGATGGGGAAGGCATGGCCAACTTGCCGTCTCTGCTTCCTCTCCTTCCTCCCTCCTCTCCTCCCTGCCCCCCGCTCCCCCACCACCACTGCAACCAGCAACATCAGCAGCAGGAGCAGGAGGAGGAAGAGGGACAGGAAGAGGAGAAGGAGCAGGAGCAGGAGCAGGAGCAGGCATGCCTCCCCCCCCTCCTCCGCCTCCTTCCCTTAAAGCCCTGCGTCCACCAACACATGCAACGTCCAGGCCAGGTGGAAAGGGAGGGGAGCGGTCGGCTGTTCTGGCAGCAGTGGCCGCAGCAGAAGCTTCCAAGAAGGAACGAGAGGAGCAAGAGAAGGAGGGACGAGGAGCAGGAGCAGCAGGGGGAGAAGCTCTCATCTCTGGTTCTGCTGCTGCAGATTCTTCTTCTGCTACCTCTGTGCCTCCCCGTCCCCCTCCTCCCGCTCCTCCCCCTCCTCCCCCTCGCCGTCCCCCACCTCCTCCTTCTCTCCCCTCCCCCCACATTCCAGCCTCCTTTTCCCTCCCGGACCTCTCCCAGACGTTCGGAGATTCTCGGCTCCCCACTCCCCCGCCTCCCCCCCGCCCCCCTCCTCCCCCTTCCCCTTCCCTCCAGCGGTCACACCCAGGAACACCTGCAGGGGCAAGGCAAAGGGGGGAGGGGGAGGCTGGGGCAGGGGGAAGGGCAGGGGGCGGCGGTGGAGGGGTTGGGGAGGGGGGGATGCTGCGGCGGTCAAACCGAATGGGGCATCTGTATCGAGGGCTCAAGAGTCGGGTGGAGCAGGCTATTGTGGGCGCCCAGGCACTGGGGGACGGCCGGGGAGGGGGAGAGGGAAGGGGGTTTGTGGGAGGCGGGGGAGTGGGGGGAGGAGGTGGGAGGGGAGGGGGAGGGGTTGCAGGAGGCGGGGATGGGCGCATGAGAGGGAGGCCGCAGGGAGGGGGGCGCGTGTCAATTGCTCTGGCTTTGGCTGAAATCCATCAAAAGTGAGTAGCTCTGAGTTGCCCTGAGTAGCTTTGGCTTGCTCTGAGTTGCTCTGAGCTGCTCTGAGTTGCTCTGAGCTGCTCTGGGCTGTTCCGCTATGTTTTCTTGCTTTCTTGGTCTTCATTGGCTTTGTACGACCCTTGAGTTGACTCAAAGTCAGCAGGGAGGAGGGCGTGTGTCGATTGCCCTGGCTATGGCAGAGAAAAGACCCATCAGAAGTGGGGTTGCTCTGCTGCATTGCATGCTGTTGAGATGCCTCTGATCTGAAATCGAGCTGACTTTTGAGTCGACTCAAAAGTCTGCTTTTGAGATGCCTCGGGTCTGAAATCGTCTCATGTTTTGTTTGAGGCACCTCAAAAAGGGGCCACGTGTCGGTTGCACTGGCCTTGGCAGAAATCCATCAGAAGTGAGGTGCTCTGCTGCATTGCACGCTCTCTTGTGCTTCTGTGAGGGCGTGTGTGAGGCGTCTCAGAACTCCTCTGTGAGTTCGTGACTTCTGTCTAATCAAGTCTTGGTCATATCTTGCCTTCAGTCTCACCGTGTTTTTCCTTCCCTCTCTCCGCCTGCCCTCTGCATACAGTGGCCATTAGTATACAGAGAATACATGGCTGTCCTGTCCACCTGCCCTGAACATCACACCTCTCCTTCACCCTCTCTCTTGTTCCAACCCTTCATGCATTTGGCCCTCGTTCTTAACCCCCTCCAGCTCAGCGTATTTCCAGCAAATAGAGGCTGACGTGGTGAAGCATGCAGACGCCATCTGGCAGGCGAAGGCTGAGCTGGAGGCCTTCCAGACTACCGACTTTGAAGAGCTGGTGGCGTTTCGAAACAAGATAGAGTCGCTTCTGCAAGACTTGACTGACGAGACTCAGGTAAGCAAGTGAATCCTTTGGAGTCGGGTAACATGGTAACCCTATTACCAGTCATCACTCAAGTAAGGCGGTATGTGTGTAGCTGCTTAGCATTAGGGCATTTGAGAAACTGATAAGTTGGTAACTGCATACTGGAAATACTGATTGAGACTAGTAAAGCACATCCCACCGCCCACTTTCCGCCTCCCCCTCCCCCCTCCCTCAGGTGCTACAACGCTTTGAAGGCTTCCCCAGCAGCAAGCTGGAGCTGCTGGTGCTGCTGGCACTGCTACAGCCAGTCAGAAGTAAAGCACGTCCCACCTCCCACGTCCCACCTCCCCCCTTCCATTTCTCCCCTTCCCCTCTCGCAGGTGCTACAACGCTTTGAGGGCTTTCCCAGCAGCAAGCTGGAGCATCTGCGTGCATCGGCGTCGCTGCACTCTCGCCTCTCCGCCCTCTCCCTTGACCTGCTCTCTGCCGTGCCCATGAGCAACAATGGTGCAGGAGGGACACCCGGTGCTGCTTCTGCTGCTGCTGGTAATGCTGGTGCTGGTGGTGCGGCGGCGGCGGCGGCGCCGGCGTCAGTGGCGGCGGTGGGGGTGTGTTTGGATCGGTGCGAGCGGCTGTTTGATCGCGTGCGGAGGGAGGTGGAGGCAGTGGAGAGGAGCAGGGAGGAGGACGCAAAAAAGTTTGCAGCGCAGCGGCTGCCGTTCAGCAGTGGTGCCATCGATAGGGTGAAGGCGGCAGCGGTGCGGCTCTCCTCGCGCCTCCTGGAGCTGTCAGCTCAGGTGAGACCCTTTGGTTGAGGCCAAGGTGGATGGGGAAGGGGTAAAAGGTTGACTCGCAGTGGCTGCCATACAGTGGTGGTGCCATCGAGAGGGTGAAGGCTGCTGCGGTGCGGCTCTCCTCGCGCCTCCTGGAGCTCTCTGCTCAGGTGAGCTCCAGGGGCGAGGGTGAGCTTGACGGGGTCGAGGTTGAATGCGGTGGAGTTGGGTGCAAGAGAGTGTGGTGGAACTGGATGCAGTTGAGCGGCTGACAGCAGCAAGGGTGGTATAGCTGGTGTGACTGAGCTCAGCAGCTGCCATACAGTGGTGGCACTATCAAGAGGGTGAAGGCAGCTGCTGTGCGCCTATCCTCCCGCCCCCTAAAACTTTCTGCTCAGGTGAGCGGCTGTCAAGTCCACTCCACATGGTTTCTTTCCAATTGTCCCAGGTAAATATGTCTGCGCAGCCAGTGCACGTGGCTCCTCTCCTTATGCTGCTTCTCATAGCTGATTGCTAAAACATAATCACTGCCTAATTCTCCAAAACCTTAAACCCTGAACCCCGAACCTCTTCTTCCTGTGGTGTTTTGTGCGAGCAGGAGAGCATGAAGCTGAGGGCGTCAGTGGAGCTGGTGGATGGGCGCATTCCCGTGTACGATGTACCTCGAGTCAAGGCAGGTCTGTTTCTCCTCTGGCGCTGCTTCCAGTTCGCATTCAGGGCGTACAATTTTGCTGGCGGACAAGATGAAACGGCTGAGGAGCTGGCTCTTACGGTGGCCAAAGAGATGGAAGCGTACCCAGCATACATGTGGGGATGATGTAATGTCTGACTCTCATATTATTCAGACTACTGTGTAGTAATTTCTTCATGGTCGTCAAGGGAGGGAGTGATCTCAATCACATACAACAGCAGCAAAGAGATAAGAATGCCTGAACTACACACCACAGCACAAGTCTCTGCCCCGTTCACTCTTTCACCCACCACAAAGCTTCAGCTTCCCTCCCCACTCACCCGTCCCAGGAGTTTCAGCTCCCTTCACTCCCACTCATCCACCCTACCTTGTGGTTTCAGGCTGTCAGCCCCTTCCTCCCACTCATCCACCCTAGTGGTTTCAGCCCCTTCCTCCCACTCACGCACCCTAGGAAGGCAAACGGCTGGAGAGAGTAAATAATACATTTTGTCATGATGCAAACTTGTCAGTAAATACAAAGTCGCTTGCTACCAGGCAAACCTTGCAATTGCCTGGATGATATAATCACCCGAGACTCTCTACTAGGACCACCAACGGGTTCTCTAGTGTCCAAGGACCAGGACGTATGAAACTGCACGAGAAACCACGGACCTAGGGCTGGAAGTTGCTGTCCAAGAAGCCATTCTCTACAAGCACCTTCTCCCGCTTGGCCTTATCGAGATCTGAGTCAACCATCATCGCCACCAGCTGCTTGAACGTCACCTCGGGCTTCCACCCAAGCTTTTCCCGGGCCTTGGCTGAGGACCCGCGGAGGTTGTCGACTTCGGAGGGGCGGAAGTAGCGCGGGTCGATCTCGACGTGCTCCTTCCAGTCCAGGCCGACGTAGCCGAAGGCCTCGATGAGGAATTGCTCAACGGTGAAGGATTCCTCTGTGGCCAGCACGTAGTCGTCAGGCTGCTCCTGCTGCAGCATCAGCCACATGCCCTGTAGAGACAGATCGGAAGGAATTGTGGTCGTTAGACGAATTGCATCTCATTCCATTATTGCTTGTGATTGTTTGGGATTTCATTTGAAATGATTCGACTTACAAGTGGCCAGGAATGGGAGGGAGGGAGGGGTGAGGAGAGACCCCGAGCACAGAAAATAGGACAGGACTGGAAATTCGGAAACAATCGACGACCAGCAACTGTGGCATCCAATTTTAATCGAGAAAAACCGTACCTTGACATAGTCGCCGGCGAAGCCCCAATCACGAGAAGCCTTGAGGTTGCCGAGGTAAACCTTCTTTTGAAGGCCGACCTTGATGCGACCGACAGCGCGGGTGATCTTCCTCGTCACGAAGTTCTCACCACGCCTCGGGCTCTCGTGGTTGAAAAGAATACCGTTGCACGCGAACATGCCGTAAGCCTCGCGGTAGTTCACGGTGTACCAGTGAGCAGCCACCTTGGAGACAGCGTACGGAGAGCGGGGATGGAAGAGGGTCTTCTCATCTTGAGGAGGCGGTGTGGCTCCGAACATTTCCGAAGATCCGGCCTGGTAGTACTTGACGGAGCGTCCGGAGTTCTCAATGTGATTGCGAACAGCCTCGAGGAGGCGAAGAGCTCCCGTGCCGACGACATCGGCGGTGTACTCAGGGTTCTCAAAGGACACGCCGACGTGGGACTGAGCACCGAGATTGAAAACCTCATCAGGCTTAATCTGGTCAATCCAGTGACGGAGAGCCGTAGCGTCGGACAGATCACCATAGTGGAGTCTCAGCTTGGCCGAAGAGACGTGAGGATCGCGGTAGATGTGGTCCAGGCGCTGGGTGTTGAAATTGGAGGAACGCCGGATGATACCGTGGACTTCGTAGCCCTTGGACAGCAGAAACTCTGTCAGATAAGACCCATCTTGGCCAGTGATACCGGTGATAAAGGCTTTCTTAACAGGGGCTTCGGAAGCCATAGCTGAGAACTTGGAAATCAGAAACCAGAAATCAGAAACTGGAAATTGACCAGGGAGACAGAAATTTCACAAGAAAGCTACTGCTAGTAGAATGTGCTGCTGCTGTAAATCTCGAGGGGGGCTTCAGAAATGTGTGTTTTCTGAAGCTCAGAGAAATGTGGAATGCATCTGTGTCAGGCGTGGGCTGATAATTATGTGGCAATGATCCACAGGCTCGGGAATGGTGGTTGTTGAGATCGGAGGTTCGGTGGTCCACCAAACTCTCATACGTGTTACGATTGGTGAGGACAGAGGCTCGGACTCCACCAAAATCTATCTGCGAGCGTGCGAACAAGGCTCGACGTGGCGCTTTCTGCCAGGCTGGTCCGGTTTAGTTGGTGATGTGGTATTCCAAAAGGCAGGGGTGTGCCTTCCCGCCCGCGGTGTTGTCGGCATGATGCCACACTTGATTGGAAGCTGCGAGTTGCGGAATGCGGGAATTGCTTGAATCCCGTTACAGGTGGGTGATGTCTCCGATGAGTTCCAGGTGGTTTGTTGTCGATGACCACCTGCCCCAGGTGGCGTTATTAGAAACTACGCCAAAGCGATTCGTGGTGACAGTGTGGCATGCATTGCCACCACTACACCTGACTTCTGTTCGAGCTTTACATATTTTATAGCATTACACATCTTATCTCAACGACTGGTACTTAATCATCCTTCATCATTTTGTCCAGGCACCTGACGTAGTATGCAACATGGAGCCCAAAATACAATGTGGGTTTAGCCACAGGCCTGAAATCGTCTCTCATCCCGTATTGCTCATTGGAGATAAATTGTTACGAATAGTAATACTTGATATTACTGTGCACTCCTCACCGCAGCAAAGAGGCATGCAGTATCGAGAACGAATGCGAGGAGTCAGAGTTGACTCGAAGCGTCAGACGGTTAGGGTGGATCTAGACCGTCGGAGAAAAACGGCATCGGGCAGCTGCAGGGACGATGAATCTGGCGGGAACAGTTTCGTAACTGCTCGGGCCGCACGGTTGGTTTGAATTCGAATAAGGGAATGTACCCCTTAGAGTACATGGCTAGCCAGGTCGCTTCGTATTCCCCTGTACTCATATTTATATCTTTGTATTTGCATGTTCTATTCATCTCAAAGCATTTTACATTCACTCTGCTATTGAGGTCAAGGGCCCACCAAACTATCTCACTACGTGCGAACCTTCCTGGGTAGATCCTGGGCTACGATCAACTTCTGATCTCAGCATGGTATGAGAGCGGCTCAGGAATCCTTCGCACTGCCACTCCCGAAAATTGCGACATTCGGAAAGTGGCGTCCGGCACACGCTCACGAGTGAAGATGGCCGGAGGATCTGGTGGTCAGACCAATCTAACGGCTGAAGCGCAACCCAACCCGGCTGCGACAAGCGAAAACACGACGACGATCGGCACCGAAGTTCTCGCACAACTTCTTCAGCGACTCACCAGCCTGGAGCAAGGACTCCAAACATTGCGGAACGGCGATGCGGGAACATCCTCGCAACCATCCCAACCGGCCCCAACTGGCCAGAACGCCGCCCCGCACACATTCTCTCTCGACACCAATGGCTCAACCCCCAAGGCTCCCCGTCCCAGTGAAGAGGCAATTCTCTCTGCTCAATCAAAGTTTCTGAGCATATCAAAAATAAAGACAAGTACTTGTTTTGACGGCAGAGACTTCTATACCTGGAGCTTCGAGTTGGAGCTCTTGCTGCAGAACGCCCAAATCTTTCACTATTTCGACGGGAGCTACGCGGAGCCTGCCGACGACACGGACGACGCCAGGACCCGCTACTACAACGAGTCCCTAATGGCGTACGGGGTGCTCCTGCGGAACATGGCACCGACGGAGCAACTGAGCATACGCTCATACAAGACTTCGGCCGCCCCAGCCCTTGAAGCCTGGCGACACCTCAACGGTGTGTATCAGCCGAAGGACTCCGTCTCCTCGAGCCGGCTGCTTCAGCAGCTACTGGAAACAAAAATGGCCCTAGAGGAGAAGGCCAACAGCTACATCAATCGCTGTCGAAGCCTTCGCGATCAAATCGCGAAGCTGGGAAGCTCGATTTCGGAAGAAATCTTCGTGAATATCGTGCTTCAAGGGCTCGGCCCAGAGTGGCGGCCCTGCAAGGCGCTTCTTCGACAGCAGGGGGTCATCTCGGAGGCCGCCCTTTGCGCCGCCCTTCTCGTCGAACAGAGGGATATGGATCAGCAGCGACCTGCGCCGCGACGAGAACGCGAAAGGCTCGCCTTCTACGCCGACAACACCGAAGAGGGAAAGCAACGGCGCCTCTACTGCAAAATCTGCAGAAATTTCGGGCATCTGGCGGATCGATGCAAGAACCGATCCCGCCCTCGCCAGACCAATCCGAGCACCTGGTCCGGCCGTCAAGACGCACGAGGCGACGCGCGTCATGCCCAGGGGTATCAGCCCCCTTCCGCGCGCAACCTGAACCCAGCGGTTCAGCATCAGCAGCAGCAGCCGTCACCGACTGCCCCAGCTCGCAACGTCATGAGCAACATGGCCATGACCAGCGAATCGCGTCGTCGCCGTGCCCGCTCGCCTTCACCCGAGCCGGCACCGCACCCCATTGGCGCGTTCACCAACAACAACCCGTTCAACCCGCGCCACGATTTCACCGACGACGACGACCAAGACTGGAACCTTCCAGTCCCGCTGCTTGAAAGTCCCCCGCACGTACCTGATATGCGGGTGGCGCCAATTGATTGGCTCTCGCGCGAGCAATTTTTGAAGTTCGACACTCCGCACATCGTCACACCGCGACTGGCGCTGCTCGCCCGTGACGACAACAAGCGCTACAACACCTGGTACCTGGACAGCTGCTGCGGCCAGCATATGGTGGGCTCCGAGCGTTACATATCCAACGCCATCCCCACTCCTACCGCCACCTATGTCACTGTGGCGAACAACACGCGCCTGCGCGCAAGCGCGCAAGGCATCGTCGTGCTCAAAGCACGCGGGAGCCGCACGCACATCACGCTCAACGATGTGCTGATCGTCCAGAACCTGCGCTTCAACCTCCTGTCCGCCGCACAGCTCATGGATTGCGGCGTCGAACTCAGCACGGACCGCGCGACGCGCGATATTTTGTTGCACTACGAAGCGCGCAACTTCCCCCGCCGGCAGATCGGACGAG